TGAAAAAAAAAGTACCAAGTGTGAGAGAAAATTATTTTAGAGAGAAAGTTTAAGAGAGGTAATAAATAGGTTTAGATTGAAAAAAAAAGAAAATTATTTAAAAGATAAAAGTTAAAATAAGAAATAAAAATTTTAGATAGAAAGGGAGTGATAAAAAATATTTGAAAATGAGAATTTAAATTTAAATCTTTTTCCGAAATGTACTGAAAAAGCAAAATTGTAAAACAAAGTAGAAAGAGTTAGAAACAAAAGTTAGAGAAAATAACAAAATTATAAGAAATAAAAAATTTTTGAGAGTAAGAAATAGTGACGACATATGGGAAAAAAAAGTTTGTGTGGGAGGTGAATCCTCAACTTACACGTGGCCTACGACGGTTGGGTTTTCAGCAACACGTGTTATCCCCTCACCAATGTGTACTTACCTCGGTCATGATTTCTCATGCCGAGCGGACTCTCTTGGATGATCGAGCCCACCAAATTACCTTACTTGGACCACTTCGACTCAGTCTATTCTCCGACAGAATCCGTGACATCACGCCGCACTTCACATCATCCTTAAAGAGCCGTTGAGGATTTGTCGGGAACATTATTGTCGGGGATTTCGCATATAAATAGAATTATTTCACTTCATTTTAAGGTACTCGAACAATCCAATGCTCTCTTTCGAATTGATTTGGATATTTACTGACTTTAGTATCGGAGTGCTCACTCTGTTTTGCAGGTCTCTTGCACGGCACTGAAGCTCTCTATCAACTCAACCTAGCCAATCTGAAGATTGTGGAGTTGATTATTTTCGTGATCAAACACTGACATAGAATTTTTTTTAAGAGACATTTAATTGGTTAGACAAAGGATCATGCAAACCAAAGTAATCAAATATTTTTTTGCTACAAAATAATCAACTATTAAATAAGAGAAAATAGAAAATATTATGGATGAAATATTATATATATGCGTGAATATATAATTATCAGTTTGTTTTAGAGAATTGTCAAAGCGAGCTCACCGATAATTGGTATATATCTTCAACGAAGAGTTCGAATCTCCTCCCAACACATTGTATTAAAATATATATATATATATATATATATATATACATTTATTTTAGAGAACTCATCGAAGATATATGTTAATTACGTAAATAATTATAAATTTTGAGTGGTGTTCGGAGGATTCCTACATGAATGACGAGTATTATTTTTCAAAAAAGCCAACCCTAAGGTCCCATTGAATGCACTGCCAAATAAAAACAAAAGTTCCATTAGACTCATCTTATAAAGTTAAATTTCCAAAATCAAAATTTGTTTTGTATCCAAAGAGCAGTCACAAGCCACTAATCTCATGCCAATCTTTTCTACGCCTCATTTCCAAACTCTTAAACATTATCCATTCATTCACTCATTCCTGCACCCACAAATGGCCTCGTCGGAAGCCGTTGCCGGAATCTTCGCCCTTCTCCTCTTTCTCTATGCCCTCTTCCGGGCATCTCCAATATCCGGTGCTCACCGGAAGAGACTCCCACCCCAACCCGCCGGCGCTTGGCCGCTGATCGGCCACCTCCATCTACTAAGTTCAACAGAACCGGCCCACATAACGTTCGCCAAAATGGCAGACGCCTACGGACCAATCTTCACGCTAAAATTGGGTATGAACAGAGTCTTGATAGTAAGCAGTTGGGAAGTAGCGAGAGAGTGCTTCACCACCAACGACAGAGTATTTTCCTCCCGTCCAAAAATGGTGGCCTCGAAGCTTCTGGGCTACGACCACGCCATGATGGGGTTAAGCCCCTACGGCCCACACTGGCGCCACATGCGCAAAATCGCCACGCTTCAACTCCTCACCAACCACCGCCTCGAGCAGCTACAACACATCATAGTATCCGAGGTCTAAAGCTCTATTAAGAAGCTTTATGAGTTGTGTGTCGGTAAAAAATTGTTGTTGGTGGATATGAAGACGTGGTTCGGAGATGTGACGTTGAACGTAATATTTAGAATAGTGGTAGGAAAGAGATTCTCGACGGCCGTGGACGGCGGTGGTGATGAGGAGTTCAGGAAGGCGTTGAGAGATTTCTTTGAATGGTTTGGAGTGTTGGTTCCATCGGATGCGTTTCCATTTCTGAGTTGGTTGGATTTGGGAGGCCATGAAAAGGCCATGAAGAAGACGGGGGAAGTCATGGACCAGGTGTTTGATAAATGGCTCGACAAGCACCGGCAGAAGAGAAATTCCGGTGAAGCTGCGGCGGCGGAGGAGCATAGTTTCATGGACGTCATGCTTTCTTCTGTTAAATATGGCACAGAAATTTCTAGCTACGATGCTGATACAATCACCAAATCTACATGTTTGGTATGTCTTTTTAATTAAATCTGTTTTTTTTTCCTTTCCACAATTTCTGAATATATATTTAAGAATGTATAAAGGAAAGAATAATTTATCGTAGTGGTAAATTTAATTTTTTTGAATTTGTTTAATTTTTAAATATTTGTATATAGACTCTCATATTGACAGGTTCTGACACTACATAAGAAAATCAATAACATTGCTCCATAGAATGTTCTTCTTGCAATTGGGAGTCTTTGATAGAGGTATGAGAAAAATGTACCAAAATGATGTTTTTTCTATTTTTATTTTTTAAAATGGTGATTTATCAAATTTCTAGTGTAATCAGCGGCACTCTAGGAATTAGTGGTAGAATACAAGTAAAATGGTCACATCTTCAATGCGTGAGACAATAATTTAGCCAGATTTCGATCCTGGAACCTGTGGGTTATGGGCCCACCATGCTTCCGCCGCGTCACTCTGATAATTTGATAAATTTTGTTGATGATTAAATTTATTAAATTGATGAGATTTGGTACATGGGTATTTATAGAATACCATACTTACAATATTGAGGCCCATTTACTAAACAAGACTACCAAGCCCAATTACATTGGGCTTTAATGATTTCTCTCAACTCTGCTGACTAGTGTCGCCGCCGAGAAGAATCACCGTCGCGTAAGGCTGGCGTCTGTAATGGCAAGCGGCGTTCTCGGCTGACTGTTATAATATTATAATAATAGTGGAGTTTTCACTCGAGCAATACATATGACATTACTTTTTTTCTTTTTATTTTTTATTTTTTACACAATGTTTAAGTTTTAATTAATACTATTTATTTCAAAGCTTATTCGTTTGTTATAAATTATTCTTTTGAACAAAACTCTTTCTCATGAGACTAAATGAGATTAGCATGGACCCAAATTGTACTCACTGGAAAATATTTGATTCTGATCACATCTTGTTTTCACTGTAATTTTTTCAATTGATAATTCATTATTTTTAAAAAATAGCTTTCATTTGATGATTGAAATTTACAATATCTTGTATTAAGTAAGAACAACACTCTAATATTTACATTAAAAGTATTGCCATTGTGCTTTAATTTTACTGAGAGCCACCTTATATTTTAGCTACCTACGATTCATTTTTTGTTTTGAAAATGACATGCGAGCAAAGCTATAATATTAGCTTTGGCCATCATGTTCCAGTATCTATTTGGTAGATAGACTTGAGTATTACATATTTCACTTCAATCACCCATTTTTTTTTATTAACTTTCTAATTTATCCTATCGACTTTTAGTTGCTCAAATGCATATATGTATACCTTGAAACATGATATGAAAAAAAAAAAATATATATATATATATATATATATTTTGCCACTTATTTCTCAAAGCTAGCTATAGATGTATGGTTTTTGGTTGGCTAGGTTTCTTTTTCAGCTAGAAATTAAATGGTGGATATATTCGACGTCTATATTGTTGTTCGTGTGCTTTAAACAACCAGAAGAAAAGGGGGCCCTCGTTTTAATTCCTTCGGCCAACAAGTTGGGTTTGGGGTCCCTGCAGGCTTCAATGCATCTACCAAATAAAGCAAATTTTAGGAGATTTGATCTTATCATTAAGATCCTGAGGAAAAATTTTTGTGTAAATTTGTTTCTCATTCCTGTTGGGTTGGTGAAACCTAATAATTAAGCTCAATTCTTGTTTGTTCAAAGTCCAATCCAAACTCATCCGTTAAAGAAAGTCAATTATATTTATCTTTTTTTTTTTTCAAAATCACTCATTCTAGTATGAGTCTCAAACTATCGTTGAATATCATGTGAGTTACATTCACTTTTAGTCTTTTTTACGTAGACTATAATTCATATTGGATGAACCTATATAAACCTAATATAAATCTTATTTTATTTTAACTTTTTGATCCGTTGAGTTTATTATTATATTATTGGTTTAAATCTTATTTTGGTTAATGTTTTAAGGTTATAATATTATAGTTACTAATTAAGTTTAAAAATGTGTGTTTAGTCGCTATCCTTTCCAAATGTCTACTTTAGTTCATAAATTTGAAAAAAAAAAAACTATTTCGTAGTTGTTTTTATTTTGTTTTTGACAAACAATTAATAATTTAGTTTCGAGCATGTATATTCACGCCACATGATTGTGTGTAATTATTGTAAGTAGATATTATGTGGTAAAATAGTCTAAACCCCGATTATTTTTCTAAAGTCAGAATCAAACATTTTAGGAATACAACGGAGGAAAGTTGGAAATAATTATAATAAAAATGAATCAAATTTAATGGGTTCAAGATCAAAATGAGATCTAAAACTTTATCATATATTTCACGCCGACAATAGGGAAATCTACGATTAGACCCTTGAAAAATTCCCAATAGTTATATTTAGCCCGTGAATGAAAGCATTTGATTGCAAGTTGCAACCACACGAAAAAGTAACTACACCGATTGTGACAACCCTGAAGGAGGAAGAAGAGCCACGTTTTTTGTCTTGCGGTGATTATTCCTCATTACAAACAGCACCCAACAATGAAGTCATCTCTGAACCATAGAAACTTAGATACCTCATACCTGGTTGAAAAGTCGACATGATTGAAACAAAGGGACCCCACCACCAAACACATGTAAAAATAAGCAATAACTAATGCTAATTCCCCCAGAAACAACGAAAATAATCGTGCATAAATTTCTTATTAACAAATGAAAAGGCCATACACTACCATTGACACAAATAATAATATATAATGTGTGCAACAACACAAAGTAGGAGTAGGAATATTGACTTTTGCTCACTAGCTCCTAAAAGAACAGCCACAGAGAATAATCAACCAATCAACCCCAGCAGTAATGTGGTCTGTTTGGCAAAAGAAAGAGCTTTATGGTTATATGCCCGCGACGCACTCCGGCGGGGGGACAGGGTAGCGGGACTTGTCGGTGCAATAGTCATAGATCATGTGGTTCAAACGAACCCATCTGTAACTTCTGGCTTGCAGAGGAGTGAGAGATTGGTAGGCCGGGCCTTCCCACCAGTTGTTGGGGTTCGAGGGGCACTCGGCTGGCCCCGGCACTGCGCACCCCTCTATGTCAAAGTCCTTGTAATAAGCGTAGAATGGGGCTTTGCTCCAATCTATCTTCTCCAAACCACCCCTTGTGGCCCAGTCGTCAGCTTCCCATAACGTTGAGTATATTCCCATTGCCTGTACCTTTGGATACGGAATCCCTTTCGCTTCGTGGTTCTTGTAAATCCTTATGGGAATCTCATCCACACTGAAACTGCATACAATAATGTAGAGATAAGAAATTTAAAAGAAGGTTTATAGTAGACCTTGACTATTTCGTTGTATTATTTTATGTTCGTGGTACCACGACTTACCGAATCTCCGCATGATTCCACATGATTGAATAAGTATGGAAATCGGCCGCTGGGTCGAACCAGAGGTTGACTCTTTGCTCTCGGTCGCCCTTTCCATGAGCGTAGATGTTGGTTTGAACTGTGTATGGTTGCCCACTTCTATTTCCCAAGAACTCAAAGTCTAATTCGTCGCGTATTGTGTCTGTGTCTGAGTTCATCTGCAATCAAACATCAAGATTCATCGAGATTGAATTTTTAACTGTTTGAGATGATATATATATTATACCAAGATTTATATGATTTGGTTGATTGATGGTAAAGTGAAACTTACGTAAAAGGCAGTGACTGTTCCGGCTGAGTCCCCGGGGACGAGTTTAATCTTCATGCTCACTTTTCCGAACAAATATTTGCGTTTTGAAGCAAACCCACATCCTAAAATCCATGAAATTTTACTTAGGTGAAAGAAAAATTATTTTCAACAGTTTTGGGATTACATTAGTACTAATTTACCAGAGTTTTGATCAAGAGTGAGTTGAATTGCCCTCCCTCCTTCAAGTTGCTTGATATGGTATTCCGACCAGGTTACCCGGAAATCTTCAAGAAAAGTCGCCGGCCGGCCGGTGACGGGGACTGATAATGCAAGAACACAGAAGAAAACAAATGCAATAATGGGGACATTATTGAAAGTAGTAAACGAAGCCATGGGTATTTCAATTTACACAAGAATGGATTAAAAATGAACTAATAATGTTTAAAATTGTGAATATGATTATGCCAAGAACCGATCGTGAAGCTTATATATATACACACACGCATACATAAGCAAAAAGAAGTAAGAAAGAAAAAGGGTCATTGAGATTTATGATTAAATTGAAATGGGGAATCGCCATCAATGTTTAGCTTTCAATACAGCTAATAACTAGCCGTAATTAGGCCCTACTTGATCACTACAACTACTTTGTAAGTTTGATTTCTGCCTCTCGTTTTCAGTTTCATCCTTATCATGAAGAAGACCCCTTTATTACTTTTTTTCTTTTTTTTTTTTGGCTTTTTGTTTCAGCCATCTTTATTACAAACTGAAAATGGGAGAGTTACTAATAGTTTGTGGAGATAATTACTTATTGCACTGGGGGAGTGTTTCAATTATGAGTTGAGGTTTTGGGTGATATATCTACTCAATGCCATCAAATTCTGATGGAAAATATAATAAAGCTTTCCTAGAGATAAATCTGCAGTTTTGAGACCGCCTTCCATCGTTCCTTTATTCTATTTTTGGACTGAAGGTTCATTTATGCTTTTGAACACTAATACTATATTAATATTCATGAAGTTTCATCTCAAAATTAATTGACAATGAAAAGACTAGTACATGTCTATTATGAACTTGTTCAATACTATATTAATATTCATGAAGTTTCATCTCAAAATTAATTGACAATGAAAAGACTAGTACATGTCTATTATGAACTTTTATTAGGTCTCTTATTTCATCAACGTGAGATCTTTTCTTAAGAATGAAATAATTTAAAAAAAAAAACTGTGTTATATATTCACAGCTAATTTGAATGTAACAGTGGATGTGACATTGATGTTGTATTTGTAGTTTACCATTGGAGCAGGTGATATCTGGTTCTAGACTAGGAAGTTGGGAAAAAGCTGAACCTAAAATTTATTATTTTAGAAAAATCATAACAAGTTAAATGACAAAAGCTTATAATATCCAATTGAAATTTATTCTATTTTGGAAAAGTGAAATATGGTGGATGATTAATAAATTGGGTTTCCTTTTTAGTATGGTGAAAGTTTCTTTTTTTTTTTTAAATTAGTTATATGTTTTTATAATCTAGGTTAAAACATGTCACTACTCAATCATGTCATTTTGGGGTCTCCCTTAGCTCCCGCGCACGTAGTGACAAATTTTTGCCTTTCTCTCGCTAGCTCGTTGGCTTAAGATCATCATAATTAAGATCCCTTTCTATCATGACATGATGTCTTCCACCTTTGTGATTCATAGTCTGTCTTATCTAAGATTGGCTTTTTTTTACTATATCTAACGTTGTTTTTTTTTTAGAATATATTGGAGAGAGAATTCGAACTCACAATTTCAAGGTTGAAGATATATGTCAATTACTATTGAGCTATGCTCGCTTTGGCCAATGCCTCATTAAATATTTTGTTGTCTGTGTGGTCTTTTGAGCTTTTGTTTTTTGTTTTTTGTTTTATTTTTAAATAGACACCTCAACCATTTCATAAAAGAGATAGGTGAGAAACATATATAAAAGAAGAGAAGAAGATTATAAGAAAGCACTCTAAATAGCTAGATGATAGATATGTCATAATTACAAAAGGGATACGATTTAGAGGATCAATTAGAGGCAGAAACTTTGATATCTTTCCAGACAATTGATTTGGAGCTATCAGTAAAAGATAGATTATTTCTTTCACACATCCCACAGAATAGCACACACTCTATTATACCAGAGAATAGATCGGTTGCTATTGGAGTTGGAGGATAGAGCTGCATTGAGAAGTTCTCAGTGCTACCGTGAAGAGCAGAAGAAAGATTGAAAGATCTCAATGTGACCATTGCTTTTTATTTTTTTAAAATATTATTTTTGTTCTTATACTTTTAATTTTTTAGTTCATTTTGGTCCTCCTCCCAAAGGTTCATTTTGATTCATATACTTTAAACTTTGGTTTATTTTAGTTTATATACTTTAAAAATGTTTGTTTTGATCCCTATATTTTTAAAGAAGGACCATTTTGGTCCCTACTTTCAAACTTTTAAGACAAATTCTACACAGATAGAAATCATTTAATATAAAATTGTAGTTACATTTCAATAAATATATTAAGTGTATTGTCGTGTTGAAATTGTAATAGAAAAAATGAGATTAAAATTGAAATTAAGAGACTAAAATGGTATTTTTAAAAATACAGAGATAAAAACGAGAATTTTAAAAATACATGGACTAAAATAAACTAAAATCAAAAATCAAAATAAATAAAAGATGAAAGTATAAAAACTATTTTAACCTTTTTAATTTAAAGCTTTCCCTTCTTGGTAGGGTGGTTAAATATTGACGACATATTTTCAAAATATCTTTAAGTAGTAGGATGATAGCTAGGTGTTTGTTTCAAAAAAGAAAAAAAAAAAAAGATGATAGGTGTTATTATTACTACTATTATTATTTTGATATTTTACACAAAGGACATTTAAAAGTGCGTGGGGTCGTCCAAAGATGCTCAACAAATGACAGGGAAAATGGGGGAATCCCTCAAACCAACGACAAATCTAATAGTTTTTCATTTGGATAATTTTGGAAGAAAAAATTCTTCAGCAACAAATCAGTATAAGCCACTTGGTTAATTTACAAGGCATGCAGGCATATTAAGCTTTGTTTCGTAAGAATATGAATTATTTGCATTTTCGTTGATTATGTTTGACAAAATCTTTTTTTTTCTTTTTTCAAAATCACTCCTTTTATGTTACTCTTAAACAAACCTTAAATATCAGTAGTCACGTCACACAAATTCTTTTAGGATAGTTAAACATACATTATTTTTCGATTTTAACTTTTACACTATGAAATGAAATGTAAATCCCCAATTTCAGAATCAAATCATTAACTTCATTAGATGTGCAATATATAACATATAGAGAGATGCATATATTTTCGTGGACAGCCTATATCAGGCATCATCCAAAAGTAAAAAAGCCGAAAGACAAAGACACCCTTGGTTTTGCATGGCCAGCTTCATCACCACCATCACATGTAGCATGCCAAAGTTTAAAAAAAAAAAAAAAAAAAACGTATGACTGTAAATATATTATAAATTCCACCAGGAAAATATTCAAAGATTCTCCGCAGCACACTCCGGTGGGGTTTGAGGGTAACGAGATTTGTCGGTGCAATAGTCATAGATCATATGGTTGGCTCGGACCCATTGGTAGCTCTTGGCTTGCGCCGGGCTCAGGGCTTGGTACGCTGGCCCTTCCCACCAGTTGTTTGGGTTCGAAGCACAGTTGGCTGGCCCCGGCACTGGGCACCCTTCGATGTCAAAATCCTTGTAGTAAGCGTAGAATGGGGCTTTCTTCCAATCAATCTTCTCCAAACCACCTCTCGTTGCCCAGTCATCGGCTTCCCACAGTGTCGAATACACTCCCATCGGCTGTTGCTTTGGAAATGGGATCCCTTTTGCTTCGTTGTTCTTGTAAACCCTTATGGGATTATCATCCACCGCAAATCTGCATAATACAATATTGCAAATTGTTGAGATATCTATATATGAATTAAATTTACTCGATCCAATTTAAAATTTTGAGTTGACTGGTAGTTCATTCATTCTTAACATATATTAAAATGGGAGGTCACATGTGATTACGTGTGATCTTCTTACATGATTAACTTATGGGACCACATGATTGAATAGGTGTGGAAATCAGCGGCAGGGTCGAACCAAAGGTTGACTCTTTGCTCTCGGTCGCCTTTTCCGTGGGCGTAGATGTTGGTTTGAACTGTGTATGGCTGACCACTCCTATTCCCCAAGAATTCGAAGTCCAATTCGTCACGTATTGTGTCTGTGTCCGAGTTCATCTACAATCGAAAATTAAGGTTGAATTTTTATTATATATACCAAGATTTATATATATGATTTGGTTGTTGGTGGTAAAATTAAACCTACGTAAAATGCGGTGACTGTTCCAGCAGAGTCCCCGGGGACGAGTTTAATCTTCATGCTCACTTTTCCGAACAAGTATTGGCGTTTTGAAGCAAATCCACATCCTAAACATTCATCCATGTTCACTTAGATATTAAGTCACTACTTTTGACACATAAAAATCTAACATATCCATCAATAAATATCTTTTTTTTTTCAAATGATGTTTATAACTAGCATATTCTATTCGAATATCTGAATAAAACAATAATTTATAGACACATCAACTTTTTAAAATAAATGGTCAAAGCGAGTTAAGCGAGTTAATTAGCTCAATAATTAGTATATATCTTTGAATTCTTTCTCCAATATGTTTGTACTAAAAAAAGAAAAACTTTTTAAAATAAACTAATTTAAATTAAGGATGAAAATGACCTGATATATTTTAGCCATTTGGAATGGTGTATATATAAATATAACCACGTTCATGATATTTACCAAAAAATTTGTAGAGAACAAGTTGATAATGGATTGTTAAATTATTGTTGTATTAATATATTTGGACATGTGAACTGTTTAGAATAATGGTATCTCTCAGTAACTCAATATCTCCTAATATGATATATTGTCCACTTTAGACGTACTCTTAACATTTTTTTTAGACATACTCTTAGGATTTTTGTTTTTTTTCATCCAAAAAATCTCATATGGAGATAATTGTCTTCTCCTATGTATTATGAATCACTTTCTCAATGTGAGCTTTTGTTTGTGTCCCTTCTAAACCCAACAAACAAGTCAGCACATAAAAACCTAACATGTCCAACAATAAAAATAATTTTTTTTTCTTACTAGCATACCCAAATATGTGTGAATAAAACTATAATTTACAGGCACATCAATATTTTTTTAATAAAATTTAAATTAAGGACGAAAATGACCTGTTTTGAATTGCAATATATATATATAAAAGCACATTTATGATTTACCAGAAAATTGGTCGAGAACAAGTTGAATTCCTCTGCCACCATCGAGTTGCCTGACATGGCTATCGGCCCACGTGACCCGAAAATCCTCAAGAAAAGTCGCCGGGCGTCCAGAAACGGCGACGATGGACAATGCAACAGCACACAAGAAAACAGAAACAATGGCATTAAAACTACTACTCAAAGCCATGGCTGTCAGTAGCTATGAGAAGAAGAGATTTCAATGTGATATGTGGAGAGACCAAATGAGAGGGTTTTTATAGAGAGAACGAAAAAGGAAGCGATGAATATTGGGTCGAAATTGAAATGGGAAATGGGCATCACACAGCCCATAGGGGTTTGGATACAGCTAATCAGAAATCGTAATTAGGGCCTACGTCTTCAGTAGTACTACTGTTTTCCCAATGTTCTTGGCTGCTTCTTCTTTCGTTTCTATACAGCTATTATAAATCCCTATTCGGTTCTTGGAATAGTGCAAGTTGATGAATGCGTAACAAATTGAGGATATATAATCTTGAGATGTTAAATAATTTGGTTGTCTTGGTCAAGTTGTGGTCAAGTTGTGGTCAAAATTATATTACCCATCAACGAAGCAAATGTTTTCACTGTTCGAATCCATCAGTGGAACGCTTCAAACAGTGGACACAATAATTTGTATCGGTTGATATTTAAAAACTTTCAAAAATTATGGTGTTGTTTGCGCTTCCTTTTTTATTTTCTAGTTTTAAAATTGGTAAGTTTCCTTTGGTATGTTTTTTACTGGAAAATATTTGAATTCCTAGTTAAATTTCAAAAAGTAAAAATAAGTTTTTGAAATTCTTTTTTCAAAATTTGTTGGGCAGCTGATTAGATTTATGGTTAAAATATAGTTTTTGATCGCTAAAATTTTTTACCTAATTCGAGTTTGGGAAAATTTTTATTATTTTAACCTTTGAAATCTTATTTATTCACTAGAGTAGAGAATTGAATAATGGATTAACGGAAATAAAATGGTATGAGCTATTTTTACCGTCGATCAATATCAACAAATTAATAAAAAATGATGACATGAAAATGATAATACAATAAAATATTTGGAGCATTCAAAATCAAACGAAAAAATAGGGACGAATATATCTAAATGGCCTTGATAGCTAGCTAGTCTAATAGCGTTTTTTTTTTCTTTTTTGAACAGTAGCATTTTCTGTTTTTTTATTTCTTGTTTTCTCATTTTTAGAAAAAAACATATTATTTAATAATGTTTTCTTAGTAAGAAAAATGAGTGGAAAAATGTTATTGGCAAACAACTTGTCTTGTTTCTTGATTTCCAAAATTTTAAATTAAAAGTTGGAGGTTTCATTTGAAAAATAATATTTTAAAAAAATGTATTCAAAATTATTTCTCAATTTATTTTTAATATTATATTCCAATTTTATAACTCAAACGTCACAAAATAGCACTTGGAATAATATTTCTAAAAAATTAGTGTTGATATCAATAACATTAATAACAAGTCTAAATTGATTTTAACCACCATTGTGGCTAAGATAAAGGGAAAGGGAATAAATTCAAACTCCATGATTGCCACTGTTAGGATGGGATTCTTTCTCTCCAATCAGATATGTCAAAATATAGAGCCCACTTTTAATGAGTTTGAATCATTTCCAGCCCATTTGTTGTATTAAAAAACACTTTTAAAATGACCATTATTAATACTATTATCTTGTCACCTAATACCTATCGTCTCAATCAACTTTTGTGACTTCAATACATTCTCATGCATCATCAGTAATACACACATCGAAAGTCATAAGTATTCATCTTTTTAAACAATGGTCAAGTTAATAATTTTTATGTACTTTTTGTTTTTGTTTTTTAAGTTTAAATACTGAAATAGACATTTTGAAAATCTATGGATCAAAATGAAATAAATTTGAAAGTTCAAAACTAAAAACTAGATAGTAGTATGAATGTTCATGGAAAAAAATGAGATTTAAACTTACATTCTATATTAGTTTGCTTATCCCAACCCCCTTAATGAATGGTCCAATTGGTATGGTATCTCTTTCAAAAAAAAAAAAAGTTTGCTTACCCCAAATAACACCATAAGGTTTGGTAATCATGTTTTTCTTTTTTAATTTTTTCTGAAATTGGTGCCATGTGGCTTACATTATACACCTCTATAACGGAGACTCGCTGCCTACGTCGAGCAACACAATGACCAGAAAAATGTTGAATTCAAGACCTCATGGTAATTAATCTCATAAAGACCCAAAACCCCTTACCACTGTGTCATCTCCCAAACGACTTATCAACTAAACATATATTGTGTTAAAGACCCCACAATGATTTATAATAGATATGAGTTTTCATCACGATTTAATTTTGAGATAAAATTCCATGAATATTAATACATTGATCATGTATAATTTAGATTTATATAACTCAGTTTAATTATCTACCGAGTTAATACATAGATTATATCACACACACAAAATTTCCAACACCGTGTAAAGTTTCATAAAGGTAAAGGGCGTGGAATATGAGTGAGACAATTGAAAAGGGAAGAATAGGAGGAAAGGGAAAAGGAAATTAAGACGAATTAGGGAGACAAATGCAGATGTTTAAACAACCGAATTAAATGGGGAGGGGCATATAAAGATATATTGGCAAATAGGGACAAGGGAAGGAACATAGAATTGGACCAATGCGTACTTGTCTTTCACAAATGCCATGGTTGATGACCTTTCTTTTCCATGCACAACACCAAATAATTTCAACGGATTAACCCCATAGCCATAGCCATAGCCATAGCCCTACACATCATCATTTCTTAATTCCACATCCATAAAAACAATCCCACGTGGGTTGGCCACCCCTTATAACTCCCCATTAAAATCCATAACAATGACATCTCGATCCCTACTTTTACCTTAAAAAACACATATTACAAGCTTAAATTTACCTTCTCCCAAGTTCTCAGGACAATTTGGATGGCTTGGAACCTCAAGGAATATTTTTGAAGTCTTGAGTTCAAGTCACATGGAACGCAACTCTACTGAACAATGATTCATCGGATATATTGGATCTACTATTTCTTTAATTTTGCGATTTTATATGGTCATCTATGCAACACCAACGATCCCAAAAAAAAATCTCCTCCTAATTTAATAATATTGAATCTCACGTTAATAAAACTCGTATGGAGATATGATCCGATTTGAATTCGACAATATCATACCAATATGGAACCGAAAAGAGGCACATCTAAACGAATAGTGAATAGCGGGTGGGCTTATTAGGGGGAGAAATATGAATTATTTGTAGGGTTGAGGAAGTGGTATCTATATCCATAAACTCATAATTAATGTAAGGTGCATATGTTGGTTCAAAGTTCAATGCATATTTCCACCGAAATCTAATCCGGCCATTAACACCGCGTTTGGAGGTGTTTATTCGTTAAGCCAAATCAGCCAGCTGGTCGGCGGAACCTGGCTGATCGTGACTCGGTACCAGCTCTTCAATTTACCTCTATTTCATGTTCTTTCAGATAAGAGCTAGCCAAGAGATCATTTTTAGCCTTTCAATTTTTTCATTTTCAAGCTCTATTGTAAAGTTTCTAATTAATTTCTTCATAAATATCCGAAAGTTTATAATGCATCCTTAGATGATATAATTTTTGTTTTTAGAAACTAAGTTTCAAATAATATTTTTATAACTATGTCTGTATATGTGTCTTTTTGTTTTATTAACTACTTAAAAATGTTTCCAAAATTTTAGTTAACTTAGGTTCTCTTTGATAAACATGTAATTTTCCTTTTTCTATTTTTTTTAAGGTAATGAAGCTTAGGAGACACTATTTCTATTTTCTTTGTTTTGTTATCTATTTTTTAAAATATTTTGAAAATCTAAGTCAAATCTTAAAAACTAAAAAAGAAAATTGAAAAATTCTTTCTATTTTTAAATTTAGATAAGAATTCAAAGGGTGAAAAACATGCCAAAGAAATATTAGAAATCAAACATAGTTTTTAAAAAAGAGAAAACAAATAATGAAATATCATGTATGAACCTTTAAAAAATTAGTTTTTGTTTTTTTCAGATTTGGTAAAGAACTTAAATATGTTTTTAAGAAAATGAGAAACACAGAGGAAGGAAGCATAATCTTTAAAACAAAAAAATAGAAGAGGAAATCATAATCAAACAAAGGCTTTTAAGTTCTCCATTTTGTACCGTGTAGTAAGTGAAATTATTAATTTTAAAAATATGCTTTCATATATATATTTTCTTATTTCTTGTGCACTTCACATGTTATTCATCGATTAATATATGATATGTTTAAAAAGTTTAATAAGCATCTTGTTTTGATGTGCCGAAAACTATGTCACATGATATTAAATTTTTGTCTGCCTATCATTATTTTTTGTGATATTTTTGCATATTTATAGGTTTAACGTTGTGAAGTAAATCGATATTTTTATAGTATTACAAAAAGAAAAAAATTTGACATATTATAAAACATATATCAACAAAATATGTTAATATGAAGATGAATATTAATATTAATAATTTTTAACTTTATTAAAAGAGAAAAGGTTTATTTGTTAATCTAAATATTATTATAAATTTTCTTATAATTTTTTTAAAAATGTTATTCATCAATAATATTAATATTTTATCAATATTTTTATAGATATTTTTATAAAATTGAGATAGTGCCACAGAACACAAGCAACAGTGATAATTATCAAAACTCATGCTGCTCATCGATTAAGTAAACTTGCATCAAATAGCCTAATTAAGCCAAATATTCGTACAATTTCCTATAAAAGTATTAATCACTGTAGCACTTCTTATCAAATGGTATTCTTGGTAATCATTATCTAATTAGTTCTTTAAATACCACTTTTTCAACCGTCACAGTGACGATCAATCTTACAGATCTTTTTAGTTTTAATTTTCTCACTCTTGTTTTCTTAAAAAACACATTTGACTTTTTAGCAAATTTTTAAAATAAAAATAAATTTTAAAAAGATTAGCTTAGAGTTTAAAAGGTGGACCGCACGACAAAGAAATACATAGGGCCAAATATTATTTAATAAGTTTAACTTTTAGAAATAGAAAATAAAAAACAAAATAACTATTGATGGTCTATTTTCATTTGCAAACATATGGTTAGACCTTTGAAAATTTTTGAATTGCAATTGACCAATTAGTTTGTTAAAGTTATGAAAGTTCATTGAAAATAAAGTCTCTCACTATATACGGAAGTAGATATAGGTTAGGTCTAGATTATATAGTAAACTTTGGAAAACTTTGAAATAAGTACAGTGGTAGTGTCAAAATAAAGTAATTAAAATTTATAAAAACTATTGACAAAGTATTTAGATTGCATAAATCAATAATTAAAAATAAGAATGATGGTTACCAATTTATCTCATCCTAGTTTCATAAACAGATTATTAATATTTAGTAAATTATTTTTTTAATATAACAAGTGAGGATGGGAGAATCCAACACATAAATTCCTGATCAGGACAATATTTAGTAAATTATTTAATGGTAAACAAATAAAAGTTTTAAATTATTTTTGATAAGTATATAATATTCATCTCTTTCTTCCAACTTTCCGGTTATGCTATCAAGCAAAATTCGAGAAAAAAGTTTGCATCTAACATTATTTTATTCAAAAGTTCCGCAAGACTTGAAATTTAAATTTAAATCATTGAACATTTTTTTTTAATATAAAGATCGTTCCAAATAAGTGTTTTTCATCTCTTAAATAAATTAAAATATTACGAATAAGACACTTCATCTTAAATTTCCAAACTACCCCCAAAAAGTGAAGAAAAAGGGTTTTTCTTTTCATTGTTTTGTATGATTTAAAAAAAACATATTAAATAGTATGGAACGTTGAATGATAGATCCATATTTTAAATTTTATATTATATGATAATAAAATGCTCTTTTCCTTGGAAAGTTTGATTATCTGCCAACATTATAATAATTTACGATTGTTTTTTGACTTTGACGGCTAAAAAAAACAAAAAGAAAATTAACATGGAAGAAAAAATGGATGCATTAAAGGACCCTTTTGTGAGTCTTTTTCTCATTTGTAATGTAATTTATATTCTAAAAAAAAAAAGACATAATGAAGAGGGATGAATAGGTTCGAACTTATGGGTTTTAATTTTCTTTTACTTTCTATCAAAGTTTCCTTTTATTAATATTATTAGCTCTATTTTTTAAAAAAGAAATATTGCCAAAAGCTCTACTTTATAACATATATATAATAATATCAAAGAAATATGAAATATGGTTACCAAACAAATTTCTTTTTCATTTTTTTTTTTAGTAAAAAGCTAGTAGGAAACTCAAAAGGAATTGAAAAAACAAGAAGAAAAAGACAATTCAGAATTTGTTTAACTTTGACAGCTCTGGCATAATCTCTTGGTGGTTTTGATTTAAAAAAAAATCATGTGTCGTAGATAACTTCTTCCTTATTAACTAGGGATCGATTTTGTTTCTACTCATTGCAACCTAACAAAAAGAGTATAAGCTATGTAAATAATTTTATTATTAACCACTCATCAAAATTACTTCTAATAACATATTCTTGAATGTATATTTTAATTGCTAAAGGTTTGTGTGCAATACTAATCCATACAAATTATGAACTCAAAAAAGAAAAAGAAAATACAGATTATTGGTCCCCACAGTCCAAGAACAGTGGAAATGTTTGGATTCATTCAATTTTGTTTGACCAAGACCTAACATCTCAATTCTCAATTCTCAATTCTCAATTAATTTTTCTCGCATAATATTCATCAACTTCTAATTACTATTCCCATAACTGATTTGAGTTGTGCTAGCAGTATTAAACATTCCACGCATCGCAATTCTCAACTTTTTGGATGTCTTTTCCGAAGAATTATTATTGCATGTTACTCGAGAAGAACCAAAAAAAAATACAAACCCATGTTCGTGATAAGGCAAAAGAAAAGAAATTGGCAAATGGAAAACAGTGTAGTTATTAGTGAAGGTAGGGCCTGATTACGGCTTGTGATTAGCTGTATCGAAATCTAATTTCAATAATTTCATTAATCTCTCACTGTCACTCACCCGTTTCTCTTTCTCTTAATTCCCTTTTGCGAATCTATATATAAAGCCTCTCATTTTCTCCTTTGCCATATCACATTCAAATCTATCTTCAATTCTCTCTTATATTCTTACTCATATAGCCATGGCTTTGAGTGGTTCCAATGCCATTGGTTTTGTTTGGCTGTGTGTTGTTTCATTCTCCGTTGCCGTTTCGGGGCGTCCGGCGACTTTTCTTGACGATTTCCGGATCACCTGGTCGGACAACCATGTCCGCCAACTCGATGGTGGGAAGGGAATTCAGCTTGTTCTTGACCAAAGTTCTGGTAAACTCATTATATTTTAAATATATTACGTAGATTAATTTACAAATTTGGTTCCTAAACTTAAATGGATCTATTTAATATCTATATTTTAAAAATTCCTTAATAAATCTTTGGAGGATTAATGCTATATGTAATATATCTTTATTTGGTTCTCTTATTTTAACTATTTAAGAACCGTTCCTCAAATCAACTCATTGTAATTGTTAAATAATACCCCATTAAGCATTTAATGTTATTAATATTTCACTGTGTGAGCAAAATTAAGGCATGGTTCACCAATCATTTTGTTTTTTATTTCATGTTTTTGAAAATTAAGCTAATAAATTAATATTTTACCTATGTATTATTATTTTTTTGTTCATCTACTTTTTGAAAACCTTTCAAATCTAAGCAAAATTTTAAAACTAAAAAAAAAAGTTAAAGATCTATTTTTGTTTTTGAAATTTTGTTAAGAATTGAACACTTTTTTAAAACGGAAGAAAAACATACAAAAAAAGTTGTAAATGGACGAGCGTAATTTATAAAACAAAAAAATAAAAACGAAATTGTCAACCAAATGAGATCAAAATTATAGGATTAATAGGCCACATATAAATTTATTAAACAAAAAAGTTGAAAGTTCATAAATTTATTAAAAACTATTCCTAAGCTAAACACATCGGTTTTAAAATAGATGTACCAAGTAAGTGGAAGACACACCAAAATTCAAGTGGATCAATTATTAATAATCTGAGCCAATCTAAGTGGTTAAGACATTTACTCCCGACCAAAACGTGTAATTTGAACCTATAAAGAAAACCCAAACGGTTAAAAAGAAAATTTTATCCGGAGTGAGAAAATGTAAATGTTTGTGGATTTAGGATGTGGATTTGCTTCAAAACGCCAATACTTGTTCGGAAAAGTTAGCATGAAAATCAAACTCGTCCCTGGTGACTCTGCCGGAACAGTCACTGCCTTCTACGTAAGTTTTATTTTACCATTAACAACCAAATCATATAAATCTTGATATATATTATGTCATATCAAATAATTAAAATTCAATCTTAATTTTCAATTGTAGATGAACTCGGACACAGACACAATACGCGACGAATTAGACTTCGAGTTCTTGGGAAATAGGAGTGGTCAGCCCTACACAGTTCAAACCAACATCTATGCTCATGGAAAGGGCGACAGAGAGCAAAGAGTCAACCTCTGGTTCGATCCTGCTGCCGACTTTCACACCTATTCAATCTTTTGGAGCCATAAGTTAATAATGTAAGAACATTTCAAATAATTAATTCAACGAATTTGGTCGTTGATTTTGTCCGAGAATCTATATATAAATAAAATTTACCCGATGCATAAATTTAAGTTTTTTATTATGTAGATTCGCGGTGGACGAGATCCCGATAAGGGTTTACAGGAACCACGAAGAGAAAGGGATCCCATATCCAAAGCAACAGCCGATGGGAGTGTATTCGACGCTATGGGAAGCCGATGACTGGGCGACGAGAGGTGGGTTGGAGAAGATTGATTGGAAGAGAGCCCCATTCTACGCTTATTACAAGGATTTTGACATCGAGGGGTGCCCAGTGCCGGGGCCGGCGGCGTGCCCTTCGAACCCCAGCAACTGGTGGGAAGGGGCAGCGTACCAAGCCCTCACTCCTGTGCAAGCAAGAAATTACAGATGGGTTCGTGTCAACCACATGATTTATGACTATTGCACTGACAAGTTCCGCTACCCCGTCACCCCGCCGGAGTGCGTCGCCGGAATATGATCAAAGTTTTAATTGTTTGCCTTGTCACCTCTATATATTATATGTATGTGTATGCTTTTTCCTGATTCTGTTTTTACATTATTTGCTTTATGGTTAATTAATAAAAGAAGTTTCTTTGTGTTTTCTTTTTCCTTTTTTCTTTTTCCTCGTATTTTGGAACGTAAAGAAGAATTGGCTGTAGGATATGTGCGACTAGTTTTATATGGTCGACTGTCTATGCAATTTTCATAATCACCGTTTAATATTTCTAATAAATATTGGCTAGCAGAAGTATAACTATAATTGACACATGTCTCCGACCAAGAAATCTTGAATTCGAATTTCTACTATTAAAAAACATTGGTGGTTGGAAGTTCTCTAAATGAATCGAAAACACACACGTTTTCGATGCTCACAAGTATAGTTTGTTGTGGATATCGATGAGTTTAAATATTGTGGCTATTATTGAATTGTTTCTTTAAACATTTTATTGGTGGTTGCAATTTTGTTTTTGAAAAGTTTGTTTAAAATGCGAGGAGAGAAATAGGAATATATAGTTGTCAAAAACATCTATATTTTTCAAAAAATTAAAAACTAGAAATGAGATGTAATCTGGCCTCAAAATGTTAGTTTTTTTTTTTTTATAATTAAAAACTGGATATCTATTTTTTTTTTTAGATAAATTACAAAGCTTCTATGCTGAGATTTTATTGCAATCTGATGGCCATAATTTTAAGAGTTTCAATTAATTTAGTCTCTATGATTGTCCGAGATCTTAGTTTTATTATTTTAGCATTTTGAATGTAATTTATTTTTGCTTTTATTTTCTATAGATAACATTTGTAGCTAATTGGTTCTCTTTTAGATTTTGCTAATTTATTTTACACTATCTTTTTACTTATTTTCAATATTCTAGGATAAGTTAGATGATTAATAGGTTTAGATTACACTTATATTTAGTTAGACATCTAAGAATTCTCATCACTACTCATTTATTTGGAGATAATTGTCTAAATATTTCTCCAAATAATGCTATTCCTATGGTCCTATCCTAGTAAAATAAGACAATAATATCAATATTAGTACATTAAAACGGGCCGAAAAATGAAAAGCCCAACATTTTGATTTGGGCCTTGAATCCATCGCCATCAGCGTTCAAACCAGCTGATCTGGTAACGCAAGTCCAACCAGCTGCGCGACGCGACAATACATACGTGTGAACATCCAACGCACGTGTGATGCCGAGAAGAAAAGCCTAGTAAATATTAGTGCCTCGATGGGGTGCCCAGAGCATTCTCATTAGGTCTGTATGGTTGGTCTTTTTTTCTCCGCGCCTGTTCACGCTTCGTTGAACCATGGCGTGGTAAAAAGAAGAGAGTATGAAATAATAGGATTCAAAATATGAGAAGTCTCCATTGGATTCAAGGAGAAGGAAATGAATAACGGGAATGAAACAAGTTGATTTAGGCTTGATTGAATGAAATGAGAAGGAAATTATAAGATTTGCAATTTCTAACTCTAGTTTAGTGATAAATAATATATATTCCTTCATTTGAGATTGGAAATTCAAGAAAAATGGTACAACAATTTTGAAGTTCTCATTTATTAATTAAAAATGGTTGAGTAAACCATTTCTTGATTGAGCTATGCTCTTGTTAAATAAACAAACTCATAACATTGTCATTCCGATCATAGTTCAACTGGTCAAGAATACCTATCAACGACTAAAAGGTAGTAAGTTTGAATCTCTCTCCACACGTCGCACTAAAAAAAACTACTCCTCCCTTGTAAAGTGCAAACGCCATCTTTTTTCACAAAATGAAATGCAAATGTTATTCAACCATTATAATACAGGGAAAAAAAATCAATTAAAAAATCAATTTTTAACCTTCACCTTATAAATTGTATCAATTTTAGTTTAAATTTTCAATTTCATCAAATTAGGCTATAAGTTTAGATAGATATTGCAATTTTCTCCTTCTATTTTATTTCCGCTAATTCACACACTAAATTTAACAAAAAGCAAGGTAAAAACTAAAAAAATTCATTAATATAATGAAACTTACGCTTGATAAAAAATTAAGTTTGATTAATGCACAAATAAATCATTAAATAACTCCACTGAGATTCACAAATTTCAACAAAAAGAATGTCGTTTTTTTTTCTAAATCTTATCAGTTTCATATATTAGATATATTTTATAATTTATTGAATGTATATAAGAATATTTTTTTTAATGATTCATCAATCAAAAAATTTTTAGAACGTCACAATTGCGACCATTCAAAAGTTTACACTAAAAATTGCACCACTTATTTGGTAATAAAAATTAAAAATTTAAGATAATAATTGATATGATTTGTCAAGTTATTGTCAAAACTTATCTTTTTCCCTAACATATATGAGGCGAATAAATAATTTTCCTACTTTTTTTGCTTTGACACAGATTATAAAATAGTTTCCTTACCTTAAATTATTGAATCCAAAAGGAAAATAATATTATTCGTACAAATGGAAACCAAATTATATCCACCAATCGAAATATTAGAAGATTTTCCATAAACAGAATCTTTCATATTAATGCAAAGGGAAAAGGAAAACAAAAAACAAAAAACAAAAAAATAATCTTTCTCCAACCTTTATATATACCAAAGATCAAAAGAAATATTCAAAATCATCTACTAGAATTATTTGCTAGATCTCATTAGGAAAAAAAGAAGAAAAAAAAAATGAAGTCAAACTCCATTTCAGCCATTGTCCTCCTTGTTTTCCTCATTTTCAGTGGTAACAATCTTCCTCCTTTTACTTCATTACATCTCTTTTAAGATTTTATTTAACAATCATCTTATTTCTCTTGACATCTTTTTAGTCTAACTTAATTACTTCCATCATTATTACTTTCTTATATCTAAGATATCTTTTCTTCCATCTAAAAAAAGTTACTCACTCTCGTGTAATTACCTAAGCTTAACTTGTATGAACTTTTCCAATCTTAAAATAAGGGGTGTCAGTTTTCCTATGAGGACGAGTTTTCAGAAGAATCATGTGTGCTCTTGTTTTGGGCTGGGTGGAGATAAGGGGGAGTTTTTCCCATTTCAATTCGGGGGACGAGGACGAAGATAGAGGTCGTCGTCCCCGACCTTACTTGCCTCGATCGTATTTTATGTTTAAATATTTCATAACAATTGTGTAGATCATGTTTTCTTTTTTCTTTTTTCTAATTATGAAATTGATGATCATGTTGTTTGTGATAATAAAAATGTTGGATTTTGGTGATTGGTGTATGTAGGAGAGAAAATGATGATGAAAAGTGAGGCATGGGAAGAGAAAATTAATTATTGCCAGAGGGTGTTACCTATATTCCAATCACAGCCATGCTACAATACATTTTGCATTACATACTGCCAAGGTCAGGTTGGAGCCTCAGCTGTTGGAACTTGCTTGGGCGCTCATACTTGTATTTGCACTTCTCCTTGTTGATCAATCCCTTCCAAATCGTCTCCTTTCTTTGCCAGAATTTGAGCTCTCTGATTCTGAAAATAAAACGATGTCTCTCAGCACACACCAGTTCTACAAGTAATCTATGATGTTACAACAAGTATTATCATTGATGAAATACAGTTGAATAATTTTCGTATCATGTCGAAATGGATGACTTATCTTTTTGTTGGTAATATCATACTCGTCGGTCTCTAATCAAGTCTGCAATCTCATGTAGGTAAACAAAATACTTTTGATACCTAAAAATAAAATAATTGAGTACCAAAAGGAATAACATCCATACGAAAATGGAATTAACAATTATTTTACCCAATTGTGCAGATGTCATTTAACAAGAAATTACGCATACAAATGGAATATCTGTCAACTCTTTACTCAAAAATGCATTTTTTAAATAATATTAAAACGTCATTCTAACTACATATACCTATATAAGCTAAATAAATGGTTTTTTTTTTTAACTTAGATCATTCGAATGGAAACCAAATTACTTCAACAAATGTTAATATCCATCAATTTAAATATAATTTGACGGGTATATATCTCCAATTAAGATCATACATTTAAATATTCATCCCACATATTCTACTAAAAAAATTTGATAATTATATCAACCCATATGAGAGAGTTTTCTTTTATAAACAGAGTTTTATATATTAATAATGTGAAAAGGGTTTTGAAAAAAACTTAAATTATCTTCCTCTTCTATATACATACACACAAAGAAATAGTTTTCATGTATATCATCAGCAAGAATTTGCAAAAAAGAAACATGAAGTCCAACTCCATTGCAGCCATTGTCCTCCTTTTCTTTGTTGTTTTCAGCGTTAACCATCCTTCTCCTTATATTTCATTAAAATTTTGTTTAGTACTAATCATTTTATATTTTTCTAATGAAGTAATCATTTCATTTCGCTTCATCTAAATATATAATTTAGGCCATATTATTAATTTGAACCCAATTCTTACTGTGATTAATATAATCTTTTACAACTTCCAATTTTTTTCTTTATCACTTTATAAATGTTTTACTTGACAAATATAGAGGTATAACCTTTTAAAGAAACGTATCGTGCTTTTTGTTTTTTGGGTTTTAAAAAACAGTTTGTTTTATAACCGCATTACTCGATTCTACGAGAATTTTTATGAAAGCCTTTCATTTGCTTCTCCCGTATCTCATTAAGGAAAAAAAAAACCCTTAACTTTTTAATTATTTCTTTTTCCAATTTCATCCTTCATGAATGTGAAAATTCGTAGGCGCGACTCTTTAAAGAAGGTAAAGATGTGTCTTGCTTGTCGCATACCTTAATCTTTTGATATATTTTTATATCGATTGAGTTAGAAGTTTGATCAAACATAACATGTATTATACTCGTAAAATCGAAACTTACTCACTTCCTAGGGTCCTAAATTCACACATGATTATTGATTATTGTGGTTGGAACTGGAAGGTTAGTGGTTTATGTATAACAAAAATGTTGGATTTTGGTGGTAGCTAGGTTGTTGTTTAGGAGAAAAAATGAGGATGAGAAACGTGGAAGGTGAAGAGGAATGTGGAGGGGTGGTGTTGCCCATATTCCAAGCACAAGCTTGCTATGCTGAAATGTGCACTTTACTGTGTCCAACTCAGCTTCCAAACAAACCAACTGGCTCTTGCTTAGGCCCTAACACTTGTCTCTGTAGCTATCCTTGCTCATAGGATAATTTGATGCTTATAATTAATAAATTCAACGGTTATCTATTGGGTGTTATTTGTAAAATGTTTCACTTCTACTCTCTGCTAGAGTAGGGAAGTCTTATCGAGCAATTCACGTACCATATCGAAAATGTTACTTTCTCAATCAATCTTCAATCAAAGAATCTGATTGGGAAGCCAATCATGAAGTAGTTTAAGTTTTTTATGACTAATACCTCCTATTAATACTCTTCCAGCTTGTTATATGATGGATTGGACATTTTTTCAACGTAGATCAAGGAGATTTAATTTGAATATCCCACCCCACATGGTGTAGAAGAAAAAAAATTAGCAATTTGATAAAATAATGTCATGAAGAACTTTTTTTTTTAGAACACGAGATTTGAATGGAGCAGTTTGAAAAAAATAATGTCACGAAGAAAGTATTTTTTAGAAAAAAATAAGCACAAAGTAAGTGAAACAAAAAAACTTTAAAAACAATAGACGTAGTATTGCATTTGTTCAATAATTACAAGAAGGAGATCGAACCATCAACATTTTAATGTCCATTTGGTAATATTCCCGTTTGTTGTTTATGTCTCATTTTTTAATAAAGAAAAATAGAATTTTATGGCCCCAATACCTATGCATTCAAGAATGGTAAAAAGCTTCTTAAAAGGAAAAAAAAATGATAAATATATATATATATATATATATATATATATATATATATATTTACATTAGAACAAATTGGAAATGGGAATAAAAAACATGAAACTTGTTTTTGTTGTTTCCAAAATTTTTAAACAATTTTGTGAATATATCTAAAAAGATGAGAAACAATAAACATAAATAATTGTCAAATATTTGRCTTTCTTAATAAAATTGGAAACAAAAAACAATAAAAAAAAGAACGTTACTTAACAGACCCTAATATTTCTAATTAAGTCATGGCCATGGGCCAGAACAGAGAGAGGGCAGAAAGGGAGTTGCAGAAACATGATTTTTAGTGGGTGGGTCCAATATTTTGATGTGGGCCTTGAGTCCATCCCAATTAATTCATGGGCCAGAATAAAGATTTAGGAGGCCCAACACATACGTGTGAAGGTTGAAACACACGTGCGAAGCCTTGAGGAATGGGGAGAAGAAAAAGTCTAGCAAAGGTCGGTCCCTTAATCAACGACGGAGAAAACACAGCATCGTGCTGCTGCAACTGCAAGACACCAATCTCGGGACAAAGGCGTAGACCAATTCTCTTGTCCTTCACTCCTTCGCCCTCGCCCTTTGGAATTGGCAATTGGGGTTGTGGAGAGAGAAAACTGGTTCTCGCCATTCACAAATCAATTATGATATGTATATATATTTTGAATGACACCCCCTCCATCTCTCCTGTCTTTAACTATTCATTCCGCCATCCTTAACCTTTCCAGCATCTCCGATCTCTCTTTTCTCCCTGATCATATCGTCCTTGAACTCTTCCTGGTACTTCTCTCTCTCTGATCTTACAGATATGGCCTGATTTGTCTTCCTCTTCTTCATCTTTTGTTTTCAATGCGTTTTTTGTAAATTTCCCACTTACCCTTCTTGTAGTCTTCTGTTTCTGTTACTGCGGTGTTTTATTTCTTCTGTTTTTTTTTTCTTTTTGAATATTGGGTCTGAATTTTGGATCGTGGTGCTTCTTGAATTGGGGACTCGGGGTTTGTTGATTGTTTGTTTACGTCTGGTCAACGCTATTATCAATCTTTAGTGGCTGGTCTTAATGTGAGGAGAAAAAGTTAACTTGGGTGGAGTGGAGGGTAGAGTTTTGTTGGAATGTCTATTGAAATTTTGATGTTTCTGTTTTTACATTCTTTGTGATTATATCAGTTTCTAGACATATCTTCTCCGATGTAGGATATTGCGACAGTTATGATATTGTTATCCTCTGCATAAGTGAAAATTTTGTTTTTATTTGATTTTCACTGTTGAAATTACTTCTCTTTTCTCGAATGTGAAGATTTTATGCTATATCGGATTTTGTATTTATTGAATTCAGTTATTTTGGAAAATGTAGTTGTTATTTGTGTGTACAAGCCTTGTATGAGCTTGACAATTTATGGATCTAGAATGGGCAATATGTGATTATATGATTCTGAAATACAATGAAATTTTGCCTTCTTAACTAATTTAACATTTTGGACACTCATGCGTGCTGGTGCTACTTTTTGGCTCTTACGATTTAACTTTGTCTATTGAGAATGTTTTCAATTGTAGCCCCTTCGCCCTGTTGGTTCGGCCCGTATTTGAGTAACACCTCACCTACTCAAAGACCTCGTATTTGGATAAACTTAATATGGAAAACTTTTAATATCTCCAAGAGTCTGAGACTTGGCAGGCACAAACTATTTTATAAAATAGAACGTTTTCAATTGTATTTTATTCTAAAGTCTCAGGGCAGAAGAAGAATGTGTTAGTGTAATTGTGAAATTAGCTTTTGGTAATTTTGGTGTTATGTTGTGGTGAAATTATATTTAACTATTGCATAATATTTTACATGGACTTGACTTCATGATCCATGCCTTTATACTACAGCCTTTTTTAGTCTTAAATGGAGTAGCCTTTTAGATGGATCTGGGTTTGATCTTCTTTTTTCTTTTGTTTTTTTCCCCTTTTTCCTTTTCTTTTTGCCACCCATGGATTAGCATGAAAAGAACCCTGAAATCATTGAACTTTTAAATGAGGGTCAAAGCGTTCCCCAACCTGATAGCAACGAGGACTATTTACTATCTCCTCCTTTCTAATATTCCAACTGTAGCCATAGGATCTAGGAGAAGACTCCCTGTGAATAACCGTTGCAGTAGTAATAACCTAATAAGTGAACTAGAGATAGAGAATATAGCTGAGTGTAAATAATGGACGATGGAAAATCTTGAAGCCGCTCATCTTCCAAAAGGTTGACCCTGGAACCATTTACAAGTTCGGAATAAGTGAGCTATATGCAATAATGATTGTGTGTGGAAGGCCAATGGATTGGGATGGTACCCTTCTGTTCCTGTGGTTAGTCATGCTTTGTGCACAATGTTCAAATATACGTGGAAATAACTGCTTTGTTAGCAATATTTTCTGTTAATATTGCAATGTACCAAACGTTGCTTGTACTTGTTTTCTTGCAACACATAATATTGAAATTATTGTTACACCGCTATATAACTTTTTTGTCTACGTTTTATGTACAAATCTTCTTATTGGCTCTTGGTACTTGAAAGTTTCTGAATAAATGAAATAATCTCATGAAGCAGCAAACATTACGGGCTGGAAAACTAAACGAGAGAGTTTTGAGGTTGTTCGTGGCAACCGGAAATGATGAAGTTCTTTCACTCATCGAGGCATTCAATATCCAGCAAATTGTCACCCCTGTTCTTCCTACCAGTAAGAAAACTCGAGATATACCAACTACCAATGTTCTGTTATTCCATTGACTTTTTCTTATCAAAAAAATTATTCCATTGATTTTGTGGTGGGTTTAGACCATTTCTCTTACTTACACTGAATACTTGGTGCAGGGTGTTCAGAAAAATTCTAGGATTCAATGCTATGGTGTGATTGCATTTTAGATCATTAAAATTCAGCCACTTCTTGTAAGGAGACTTAACAATTTTTTTTATCTTTTGAATATTATAATTACAAATCATTGTTTCTATTTTCTGGAGAAGTTTGAAAGATGTCCCAGCTTAATATTAAGGATAGCGAGGTCGACATTGTGATTGGAGCACTCCACTCCGATCTGACAGTATTTATGAATGAATGGAAGCCTATTTTCTCCCGATACCACTTGATTATTGTCAAGGATCCTGAACTCAAAGAGGACCTCCAAATTCCAGATGGGTTTGACCTGGACGTCTATTCTCAACAAGATATAGATCGAATTGTTGGTACTTCCAATTCAATTAAGTTCTCTGGTTACTCATGCCGATATTTTGGCTACCTTGTGTCCAGAAAAAAATATATCATCTCAGTTGATGATGACTGTGTTCCTGCCAAAGATGATAAGGGCTTGTTGATAGATATTGTAGATCAGCACCTCGCAAACCTTTCAACTCCAGCCACTCCTTTCTTCTTCAACACACTGTATGATCCGTTTAGGGAAGGAGCAGATTTTGTCCGTGGTTACCCTTTTAGTTTAAGAAGTGGGGTTCCTTGTAGCCTGTCATGCGGACTGTGGCTCAATCTAGCAGATTATGATGCTCCTACTCAAGCCCTCAAACCAAGTCTAAGGAACACACGCTTTGTCGATGCAGTCCTCACTATTCCAGTTGGGGCCATGTTGCCTGTGAGTGGAATCAACATTGCATTTGATCGAGAGACGATCGGTCCTGCTTTATGTCCAGCTCTGAGATTGGCTGTGGAAGGAAAAGTTCGGTGGGAAACCATGGAAGATGTATGGTGTGGATTATGCACCAAGGTAACATGTGATCACCTAAAGCTTGGTGTGAAAAGTGGGCTGCCTTATGTTTGGAGAAATGAAAGAGGAAATGCAATAGAGAGCCTGAAAAAAGAGTGGGAAGGGGTGAAGCTGATGGAAGATGTTGTTCCCTTCTTCCAATCTCTTAGGTTGCCAGAAGCAGCAGTCACAGCTGAAGACTGTTTCCTTGCGATCGCGAAGGCAGTAAAGGATCAGCTTGGCCATTCGAATCAAATGTTCTCTCGTGCTGCTGAAGCCATGGTCGATTGGGTCGAGATTTGGAAGAAGGCTGGATCTGGTCCTTTGCCTGACAATTAGGAGGACTTCGTGAGTGAGTTTGGCCTCCTCCCCCCTTCAATTAATAACAAAAAATTTCCCCTGTTTTTGGTTGTAACAATGACTCAAAGAGCTGTTGAAATTTCTAATGAACCAACAGAACTTAACTATTCGCGTAATTGTTCCGCAGTTATTTAAGTTCTCATGAAGCCCTGTTATTTTGTTGTTGTCTATTGATGATATGTATCCTTCAAATGACATGCTTGTTTTGACCCTACAGAGTGAAAAGGCAAAATGGTCATGTTTCATTCTTATTTTCTGTGATGTGTGTCTATATTTCGACATCAACTCGATCTGATTTGAGGGCTGAAACTGAGCCATGCTAAATTGAGAAGCAAAAGTGTTTGATTATGAATTATTATAACAAAGTGTATCTAAACTTTCTGTGTCAGCTTAATACAAGCAAGTTTCTTATCTAAAAAAAAAAGGTATATCTAAACTCTATTTTTGTTCCAAAAAGTTAGAAATGGAGACGAGAAAACCAAAGGACAGTTTGGAGAACTTTGAGAATATTCTCTTGTTTTTGTTCTTAGTTATTTTTAAAAATTATGATGGAATGGTTTGTGAATATACTTCGAAAACACTATTCATAAATTTGTTATTGGAAAAAAAACAACTCAACAACTTTATTTTGTTTAAATAAAAAATTTAAACAAGGAATAAAAAAAGAGAGGATTCTATAACAGTTCTCAAATAATCTTCCATTTTATAAGAACTACGGGACAATTTCTTGAGGTGCCAACTCTTGGTGCTGGCAAAACCAGCAAGGTTGAATTTTGATTTTATTTACTTGTACATCATTCGTCACATCTTCTGTTATCATCGATAAAATCCAATCTACGCGTAGAAAAGTTTGAGGGTCTATTTTCTTAATTATGCTCAAAAAGAACTAAAACGACGTTAAGTATTTTATGCAAAGTGACATAAAACATTTGTTTCCTCGCTGTATCGCCGTGAGCTTCTCAGGCGGAATCTATAGTACCGACTTGCTATCAAGATACCGATAGCTGTTTCTTAGCGGTTGAAACAGCGCAAACGCCAAACACATGGTCCGGCATTATCTTTTTTTCACACTCCCTTCTCTTTACAAGTCGCTTCCTCGAGACCTCTCAAAATTGTTCTTCTCTGTTCATTTCCGATTCTGATATCTGAATTCTATCCATAACCAAGGCAGCCCATCTTCCATGGCTGCCAATTTCACCATGCTTAAACCTTGTTCTTCATTCTCGACCCGATCATCCGTTCAGAGGAAATTTAGCGCCCATAGATTAGTATGCACTGGCCCATCTTCCTCTTTTTATCCACAGTGTCAAGGAGGTTTGTTGGCAGCTACCTTTCATTTAGTAAAGTGATTTATCGTTCTTCATTGTGGGATTCTTTGCCCCTTGTTTTTACCCTTGTTTGGCTTTTGGGTTTCGTAGGAGCTTATGGTTTATGCATCGTTAAATGTGCTTCTTCAAATGGGAAGGAGCCCGATTCATTGGATAATGGAGTTAAAAGTGTGGAGCGGCTACTTGAAGAGAAACGGCGAGCTGAATTGTCTGCTCGGATTGCCTCTGGAGAATTCACTGTCGGAAAAGATGGGTATGAAATTATTTGAGTATTTTTTTCTATTTCTGGGTTGGGGTGGGGGTTCAACAAATTAGAGCTGGAATGGGTTAGTTTTACATTTTGTAATTCCATCGGCATGTATAAGCACTAATTTTGATTAAATAAGAATTCATTCTGCTGCTGTACATTTTCCAGCTGGTGGGTTTTTAGTAATTCTTCTATTTATCTCATGCCAATTGACAGCTCTTTCTAAATTTTTGAACTGACGTATACTTGTTTATTATGTGTTTTTGTTTTGGGAATCAAGTTTTCCTTCTGTATTGAGGAGTGGCTTGTCAAAGATTGGTGTTCCCAACGAGGTTCTGGACACATTATTTGGTTTTGTCAATGCTCAAGAAGGATATCCCAAGATCCCTGAAGCAAAAGGATCAGTAAATGCAATTCGTAGTGAGCCCTTCTTCGTACCTCTGTATGAGCTTTATCTCACGTATGGTGGAATATTTAGGTTGACTTTTGGGCCAAAGGTTTGTTTCCTCTTAGTTTTATAAGTAGCCATAACTTTTTCCACATTGTTATTATTTATAGGGTATGCCATAATTTATTACTATGTGTGATATCTTGATCTTCTTGCAGTCATTTTTGATAGTTTCTGATCCTTCCATTGCTAAACATATACTGAAGGATAATCCAAAGAATTATTCTAAGGTATTCCTGCCTGTCATCTTATTACAATCTGTTGGTTCCTTCTCTGCATACTTTACACATATCATGTGATGATATTTGGATGCACAGGGTATCTTAGCTGAGATTCTAGACTTTGTCATGGGGAAGGGACTTATACCAGCTGATGGGGAGATATGGCGTGTAAGAAGACGAGCAATAGTACCATCATTGCATCTGAAGGTATGATCATCATTGCATCTCTTCGCGGATGGCTAGTGAACCCCTGTTATAAGTGTACATAGGGAGATCCACGGGATAGGAATGTTTCTAGCATGCGTGCATAGGGAGATCCACGGGATAGGAATGTTTCTAGCATGCGTGCAAGGTAACTGAAAATAACTAATGTAAGCGGGAGAATGGTATTAGTAGCTATTGCCTATTTAGAATGCTCTCTGTATAGAGGGGGGTACACTTTTGTTAAAGAATTAGGTGTTAGGGAGAATAAGGGGAGCTTTAAATTTTCCCATGGACATGTACTCTGTTTTCAATCATTATTAAAGAATTCGGTCTTCCTATCCTAGCCCTTTGAATCTTCATGGATCTGTACTCTGTTTTCAGTCAATACTAGTGAATTTGGTCTTCCTAGCCCTTAAGAAATCCTTTTGATGTAGAACTTACATTTTAAGCCATCCATTTATAACATCTACACTTTTTTTTCATGTAGTATGTAGGTGCTATGATTAATCTTTTCGGAGAAGCTGCAGATAGGCTTTGCACGAAGCTAGATGCTGCAGCATCTGATGGGGTAGATGTGGAAATGGAGTCCCTGTTCTCTCGTCTGACTTTAGATATCATTGGCAAGGCAGTTTTTAATTATGACTTTGATTCACTTACAAACGACACTGGCATTGTTGAGGTATTCCTTCCCTTCTATTTTTTCTCGGTGTGAACTTTATTCGTATATTGATCATGACATTCGTTACATTTTTTTTTTGTAAATGCTTATATTCCATTTCGAGCAGGCTGTTTACACTGTGCTAAGAGAAGCAGAAGATCGCAGTGTCGCACCAATTCCAATATGGGAAATTCCAATTTGGAAGGATATTTCACCACGGCAAAGAAAGGTCTCTAAAGCCCTCAAATTTATCAATGACACCCTCGATCAACTGATTGCTATATGCAAGGTAAAGTAGCAAATTGATGGAGCAACTTTCAAATTTCTCTTCTTTTTCTTCTTCCCTCCCCCAAAGCAACTGCACCACATATGTCTCTTCGTTTCATTTTCTGTTTTTACACTTCTATAGTAATATGTATCAATTCATTGGTCAAACTGACACATATATGCATTCTCCAGCACTTTCTTTCACCATTTCTTAACTGACTTATCTTTTAATCTCTCATCTCGGTTAACATGACTGCCTGATTTTGCGGGGCTTCATTTGATTACTGACTGCCGCTTCTATCAGATTGGATATTTACGAATAAGTTGATCAAGGTCTCAAATCTCTTTTCCTTCTTCACCCATTTGCAGAGGATGGTTGATGAGGAGGAGCTGCAGTTTCATGAGGAATACATGAATGAGCAAGATCCGAGCATCCTCCATTTCCTTTTGGCATCAGGAGATGACGTACGTTACTAATAGTTGACAAGTATGACAATTGGAGACCCAACTAGTTGACAACTTTCTGGCCTATCATGTGTAGGTTTCGAGCAAGCAGCTCCGTGATGACTTGATGACTATGCTTATAGCTGGGCATGAAACATCTGCTGCAGTTTTAACATGGACCTTTTATCTTCTTTCCAAGGTAATCAATATCTTCGAATTTGAGATAAAGTTTTACTTTTAGTAATCTATTAGTTTTCTGTTGATCTTGGAAACCTTCGCTAGATTTTCTGCCCGTAATAAATTTTGGTTGAATTATAGTCTTGGTCCCGGAAGTTTAAAAAAGTGTATTTTAGTATCTAAAATTTTAATGAGTTTCATATCTGTCCTTTCTGCTTAACTTTAGACACCAAAATTAAAGTTTTAACTAAAGATTTTCTCAGGAAGGTGTGAATATTTTGAGACACTGATGCCGTTTCTATTTTTTGCATTCCACCTTATCATCCAGATATAGTTTTATTAGGCATCCATCATAAATACATTGGATTACTTTTCAATTCATATTGTTTAACATGAAATCTTCTAAACTTTAGCCATGGTTTTTGGCTGCAGGAGCCTAGGATCATGGCCAAGCTTCAAGAGGAGGTAGTTAAGTCTTCTCCTATATTTCATTGCAGATAGAGAATCTTTATCTTTCATACTGATGTAATTTTGACAGGTGGATTCAGTCCTCGGGGATCGGTTTCCAACTATTGAAGATATGAAGAACCTAAAATATGCCACACGAATAATTAATGAAGTAAGAGGATATTATTCTTCTCCTTCTTAACTGATTAATTTAATATATTCTTGTGACTTTACCCTTCTGCTACTGCAGTCCTTGAGGCTTTACCCACAGCCACCAGTTTTAATACGTCGATCTCTTGACAATGATATGCTCGGGAAGTACCGAATAAAAAAGTAAATAGCAAATCACTGTTTCATTTTCTTCTGTTAGCTCTAGTATTATATGAAGCTTTATTTATCTTCTATGTAAACGTTCTCCGTCACATGGTTCGATTTCCATTGGTATGAGTTTCAATAGATTCTTTTCTCTATTCCTAAAAGCACATAATTACCTTTTTTTTTTTACTTATTTTGATGTTCAGCATGGAGAGGGATAATGGATAAGTACTGTTCTATTTTTGCAGGGATGAGGACATATTCATATCTGTTTGGAACTTGCATCGCAGTCCAAAACTCTGGGACGATGCTGATAAATTTAATCCAGAAAGGTGGCCCTTAGATGGACCCAATCCAAATGAGACAAATCAAAATTTCAGGTCAGATACATACTCATTTATGTGCAGCAAAGGCATCTCGAATAACTATTTTGTTTTTAGTTTTTATTTTTGTTTAATTAAGTTGATTTAGTAACAATTCCTTTATTTAGTAGTTAATTTCTATTGAAGTACTATTAAAACCTTAAACGAAATTTAAAAACTAAAAAACTATAAGTGTAATTATTTATTTTGAGAGAGGAACTTTTGATTGTAGTTAAAACAACGTACTAACAAAATCTACAGCCATGAATGGAGTGTAACTACAATTCAAGCTGACAAAAAAATTGCCAACTTTGATCTTAAATGCTTTAGAACAAGTTGGTTGGTAGATAAGAATACTATCTCAAATGAATCTCTTGATTTACTCAATTATTCCTAAACATGTGAAACAAAACAGAGAGGGGATGATTCAATTAGATGGTTAAACATTTATGATAGTTAGCTTTACTTGTCTGTTATAATAATATATTCTGTTTCTTATCAAAAGGAAAGTTTATAACAATGCATTTGTTACCTTTTATAAGAATTAATAACTATCATAATCGTTACTTTAGATATTTGCCTTTTGGTGGAGGACCGCGGAAGTGTGTGGGAGACATGTTTGCTTCATACGAGGTATTTGTTCAAAATGTTATGAAGTTTTCACTCATATGATCTAAAAATATGTTTTTAAAAAGATTTTTCAGAAAGCACATCTAAGCAAGTTAAACATTTACCTTTCTAATTTACAGACTGTTGTAGCACTTGCGATGCTTGTTCGGCGATTTGACTTCCAAATTGCACTTGGAGCACCTCCTGTATGTTTCCAACTGAGATTATTTTCCATCTTTCCTTCTGTCCTTACAGTCTTCCTTTATGTTGTATGAATGGTTTTAAGCTTGATTTCATGCGGCATTGGCACGACCTGACAAATAGATGATAGAAAGAAGTAAACGGTTAGAAAAGATAAAGTAGTTCATGCAGACTATCTTCTTGTTAAAGCAAAGTACCAAATCCTTCATAGATCATGACACTTTATTTTGTCCAGTTATCTACATACTAAAATTATTTGTCTAATACATCATGTCAAATCAACTAACGTTTATTTAAAAGACATCACTCCATTATTTAGTTAACAATGTTAATGGTAGGGATTATTAGAGTCACGATATGTAATTGAAACTTCTAAGTTTAGAGAATAAATAGACATGATCGCATGGTTTAGAGACTAGATTTTTGTCAAAAGCTGTATCCTTGGTTTCTTTTTTTATGGACAGTGGGAGAGTAATGTCAAGAAACTATAAAATTAAGAGGTTTCATGAAACTAAGATTATCCCTGCAGGTAAAGATGACAACAGGAGCTACAATTCACACAACAGATGGATTGAAAATGACAGTTACACGAAGAATGAAACCTCCAATCATACCCACGTTAGAAATGCCTGCAGTGGTCGTCGATTCGTCTGTCGGCTTCTTGGAAGATGAAACACAAATTGGTAAGGAAGGAGAAGTTTCTTCTGCTCATTCCTGATATTGTTGCAGTTTCGCCATGGGTTGAGATTTAGCCTGCTCCTGAAACTTGAAAGAAGATGCAGAAAAAGAGGAAACCGAAATCCCGCTAGCGCTTTATGAGTCCTCTCGATTGAAGATTAAATTTGATCTTCATCTGGTTAGATGCAGCTTTCTTGGTGAATCCTCGTTTGCATATAGAATGATTTGTATGAGTAAAGAAACTGTTCTCATTATCCTTCTTAGATGTTATAAAAGATTTATGTATTTCATTGTATTAATCCATTGATTTAGTTGTGAAGACTCGGTTAAAGTCTTCTTATTTCTTTGTTTTACATGTAAATATTTTCCACTTAGACGATGTTCTTTGTACCGATGCCATTGGAGCAATATTATGAGGGTTCTTTTTTTTTTTCCCTTTTTGGCAGCAATAAGGTAATTTGAGAGGGAAATAAACAAATCTTAGAACATATTTGGGTTTCAAACGGTTGGATTTTGTGATGGTAAGAACTCGATGGTAAGATTTTTTTTAAGTACAATAAGTGGAATGAGTGGTGTCGAACTCATGACCACTCGGTCATAAACAAATGCATATTGACCTATAGTAAGAAAATTAATACTACATGAAAATGGAACTTTTAAAATATTAGGAATGAAATAGAAAAATGAATTTTTTTTTCTTTGACAATTTGTTTGTCACGGTACATCAAATTAAAAAGAAGAGCATGTTGTGAAATTAAAGAGCAAAACGAGGCACTACAAATACACGAAACAACGTTAGAAAACGAAAAAATGGACAAAATATGAAAATACAAATTTATAAGAGAAATGCATATGATTTATAGACAATTGGGCAAACATGTGGTGTAACTAAAAGACACTAATGAGAATTTAATATATGGTGCATAGGTAATGGGACACAAGCCCCTTTTGGACACTAAGCTTGGTCATTTATAAATTTTAATTGTTTATAATAGGGCAAAGTTTGTACACTAAAACCATTTTTTAACTTAATATAATTAATGTAAGAGCTATTGCTATTTGCTCTAAAGGAATTTAATATCTATTTTATTTAGTAAAATGTAATATATAGTTTTTATTAATACAAAAGATCTTGAATTGGGGATGGAACCTCCCATCTAAAATGTAATATTATTATTTTTTTAAGTATAAAATGTAACATTTTGTTAATACTAATTAGTAATTACTAATATCTGTTTAGTTAATTTGGTGTCAACTCTTTTTTAAAGGAAAATTGTGTGTAGAGTTTTCGCTCGATAAGTCGATGGCCTTGTCTCTATCTCTCTATCGTCGCACGTGCCGAGATCGCACGCTTGGGATTCTTTCGGCGAACGAATTCTTAATCTAAATGGTAAACTGCAAGGGTTTGGTCATTTTCTCATACTCGGCTAATTTGTGAGGGAGATTCGAAGAAAATGGCGATGGCGACAATCCGATCCAATCTTCTTCGCGCCGCCTTCCGCGGTGCCTCTCAAAACTCTGCTCAGCCTAAACGCGGCTTTGCTTCCTCTGCTCACGATGATGTTCGTAAGTCTCTCAATCTCTCTCGCTAAGAGAATATTGTTTGTAATCGAAATCTCTCTGGTATTTTTGATCGTGGTTGTGTCTGCGCTGCAATTGGTTCACGTCTCTCTCGATTTGCTTTTCTTTATATGGTCAGAATTATTTCTTGTTACTTTTGACAATTTCGTTTAGCCCCTGTATGTTAGATTTCTTTAATTTTTCTGCCCTATTTTCATCTGACGAAATGAGGGGAAAAGGATGATATTAATGATCGAGTCATATACACAAAGTCAGACCTAAATAATTTGATCGTACGTTTTTATGTTCCTTTTAAATTGGGAAGCTTGCAAAGGGAGCATTTGATACTTGTCTGTAACACATTTGATGAGGTTCTCAGTCGCTGAGGAGTAGATTTGATTTAAAAAGAAGGTGAGGAGGAAGACGAGAGGGAAGAAAATTTCTTGGTCGATTACTGAGTGGCACTAATATACTTCTTGATTTCTATAATTAGATAAGAATGCTCAATAAAGTTTTAGGTACATCTACTCCGCTCTCAGATATTAAGACATAAAGGAAAACTGGAAAAGAAACATAAATGTAGTAAGTTTATAAGTGGGGTTAGTTCTTCTATAAACAAATTCTCCTTTGAGATAAAGGGTGTGAAAAATTTTGGAACAAAGCCAAGGGCTTTTTTCAATGACTAACGAAGAGGATGTGGGGGTGATGGACAAATGAATCAATTCAGTGTCATGATTCTTCTGCTCAAATTCGTGTTGAAGTGAATTTATTTTCCTTTGATTTGCCAAAAAATATACTTGCTGGTTCTTTACTTTGACTAGGTACAATTATGTATTGTTATTTCAAGTACTATTTCTGACTTATAGTGGACAAGTAGCAAGTTCGATAAGAAATTGTATGCAGGAGTGCAATAAAGCTCCTTTTTTATGATATATCTTCTTCCTTTATGTTCATACTGCATATGTTTTATTTCTTATACGGACTTTCTTTCTTGATGTGATGTCAGGTGAGACGGCAAAGTGGGAGAAGATTACTTATGCAGGCATTATAGCTTGCACAACTTTAGCATTCTATAATTTATCAAAGGGCCACCCCCACCATGAAGAGCCTCCTGTGAGCTATAGCTTCAGTCAATTTATTTTTCCCTCCACATCTCAATATCTTAGTTTCACTATGCATTGTACTCTCATATGTGTCCCATTTATATTTGTTTTGTTTTCATTTTATGCAGGCATATCCCTATTTACACATACGCAATAAAGAGTTCCCATGGGGTAAGCTTCCACTTCATTACAAGTTTATGGCATCTTTTATATCTCATTGCAGTTGATAAGGGAGCTATAGAACTGGGTACTGTAGTGGTGATGTCATTTAGTTTTATTGTCTTCCTCCTAAAAAATGGTATGTTGTATTCTCCTTGCATTTGTTTTATATTTTCAAAAATATACAAACTCTGTATTGCACAAGTATTTCACTATTCATTTTTTAAAGCAATTAACCAAAATGTCTCATAAAAAAAAAACAATTAATCAAATGCATTATCCCCAATTAGTGGTTTATAGTGCAAGTATTTTTTTTTTCCATAGATTTGACTTTTAAACAAAATGTAGTAAGCTTCCAATAAATTGAGTGCTTACTCCTCTATACTTTCCTCGCACATAATTATGAATGTTTTTTCGTTATGATGGTTTGTCACTGGTTTTATAGTAATCAGGAAGAGAAAGTGATTAACCGACTTTGTTATCTCTGTTTTTGTTGCTTGAACACAATGTTGGAAGTCTAACCTGGGTCATTCATAATGTTGAGATCTGTTTTTAGTGTCTTTATGGTGTCAAATTGACAAATAGTAGTTTAAACGGTTTCCTCTATATCTGTTGGTTGATCATCCCAGGGTTTTATGGATACTACTTTTTGAACTGTTAAGAAGCTGTTTTCAAAAACTGTTTTCTGCTTTTTAGAATAAAAGTTCTATGGTACTAATCAAAAGCAGCAATTTATTGATGATCTATGGTAACCATGCATTTTTTTAATTAAAAAAAGATCAGCACCAAGATGTTAAGTTTTGTTTTTCCTTGATCCCTCTTCTATCAGGTCCTGATGGTCTCTTTGAGACGAAGGAACACTAAGAGGACTATCCTTGGTTCAAGGGGACATCGAGCATAATAATTCTTCTTCCCATTTCGCTTCATATCAGAAATACTTCATCGACTGGTTGGGTTTGATTTTCCTTTCCAAAAGGGATGCTTTGGCCATTTGGCGTTTGTTAAATGCAATTAGGATCTTATGTGAATGTTGGTTCAATTTTTTGTGTTGTCAAAACTACCCTTCCTGATTAATAAGATCAACTTTCCGCCATTATAAAGCTCAGTTTGCGGTGAACTCTGCTTGGATTGAAATGTGTTCGTAATTAATACTTTTTGAGGTGGTAATGGTTACTTGGTAAACGTAAGGAATTGTTAGGTTTATCGACAAAATTGGAACAAGAGCTATAATTCGTGTGTATATATATATTATAGAATAAGCAAATACAAAAACAAAGGGAAGATTCTCCCCTGAAAGATTCTCATGGTAAGACTTAATTACTAGACCATCAAAATTAGAAAATTGGGGACGAATTTGTTTGGTATGCTTTCGCCTTTCTTGAAAACACATTCAATTCAAGTTTAAAAAACATGAAGAAGGTCTCAAAAACTACTTTTTATAAGATGAATTGCAAAAACAAAAAGGCAAAAAGGAAAGAGAAAAAATTCAGAAAAGAGCGAGTGTTTAGAAACAGAAAATAGAGAATCAAACGAGGCCAATCAAGCAAGAAAGGAAAAAAGATAGAGAGCAAAATTAGATCACGAGAAAGAAAAAAAGATAGATTGAGGAATATATTGTGCGATAGGTGAACTGAATTGTGTGCTTAATAAGGAATCATTGTGGTTTTTTTGGTGGCTTTGGATCGAATAACTAATAAAATTGATTAGCGAGAGAGATGAAAGATTCTGTTTGGTGTGAGAGAATAAAGAGAGGAAAAGATGATATGGGAGAACCAAAGGCCTTTTTTGGAGGTAGAGAGAGAAAAAAAGATGAAAAGAGAAAAAGGTGCGCAAGAACAAATATAAAATTTTGGCACATCATTTAAAATGGATCATGTAAACTTTGAGTTCGTTATCTATCTCTTTGTCAATCTGAATGTAGCTCTAGTTAAGACATGTATCTGTTTAATTTTAAAGCTAATAGAGTTGATGTATGCGTGTACTATATGAATAGCGAGTAAATTTATCTTTCTAATGATATATCACGTTCACAGTGTGATTTTGATTACCATTTATAATCAAATTTTTATTTTTTCAACGACCCTTGAGAGTGATTGAACTTTCAAGTGTTTCAATTCATCTCACCTATCATCACTTCAATTATAATACTTTTACTCATGGTTAAGCTCTCTCTGCTCCATATATTTTGCACATACCACAATGAACAACCACTTTTCAAAACCAAAATTGAATATAATTTTCAAAGACCAATCAAACATGATTAAAACTAATAAGATAAAGTTAGAATAATTACTTGACATAACTACCTGTAGTTAAGGTAAACATGATCACAATAAAAATCATATTACAATGAGGTGAAATGAAAACTAAGGTAATATATTATTATTTAGACAATGATATTTAGTCATGATACAATTTTACTTATACGCATCTAATTTGTACTAACATAATAAATCATCAATATCACAATCTCGATACTTCTTACCTACAACTCACATGTGCTTACTTGAAAACTAGTCATGAACCACACATACGACACTATCCATCTCAATTAGGATAACATTCAATTAACCTCATAGTCTAAGCTAATTGGTTGAAAATTGAGGAAATTTTAAGACGATCCACCCACATCCTTGACACTTCTCATTGTGACAATGACCCAGCTTAATCATACAATTAAATAGTTAATCTGCCCCCTAACCACTCTCCATTAACTTTTTGGGATGAGCCAAGCTTCCTACACACAAATTTATAGTCTAATACTTCTTTTTGTTCAATTTTTTTCATTTGTTATAATCTCAAATAACTAATTAATAAATTTCAGATCAATAAATTCAATAAAAAAAACATATATAAGCACATGAAATTCTAAATACTAGTCACGATTAATTTCATTCAACAACAAAATTAGGACACTGTGTATTCACATTCACTAAAAGAAAACAAAATTTATAGTTCAAGATTTGGGACGAACCAATTTGCTATCCCTTATCAACTCAACCACTCTTCTCATGGAAGGTCTGTCATTTGGCAAAGGAGAAGTGCAAAGCATTGCCACATCCAACATTTTGGCTATTTCTTCAATCTCACATGTCGATGGATCCAACTTTTCATCAATAATATCGTCTAAACTCATTGCCTTCTCATCCTCTTCGTCTGATAGAGCAACTTCAGTCACCCATTTCACAAGATCTCTGTTCTCTCCAAACCACGGATCGTTCGGCCGCTTCCCAGTCACCAACTCCATTAGAACCACCCCAAAGCTATACACGTCGCTCTTCTCCGTCACTTTCATGGTGTACCCATACTCTGCAAATCAAAACGTTAAGAAAATGAATAAAGCGCCTTTTGAGTTGAATGGTGATTTAACATGCCATGCTATATCAGGTCCTCGTTTGTTACTCACCAGGGGCGATATAGCCGTAGGAGCCAGCGACGCGAGACATTAGACCACCGTCGTCGTCCTCTGCATGCTGCTGCAGCGTCTTGGCTAATCCGAAATCGGCGACCCGAGGCTGAAATTCTCCGTCCAAGAGAATGTTGTTGCTCTTAACGTCGCGGTGGATTATCGGGGGGACGCAGTCGTGGTGGAGGTAAGCCAATCCCTGAGCCGCTCCGATGGCTATGTCGAATCGTTTCGACCAATCCGATAGAGCTTCCAATTTGCGTAAGTGAAGAACATCTCCCAAGCTCCCATTCTCCATATACTCGTACACAAGAATTCTGTTTCCTTCGCCATTGCTACAACTGAACAGCAATTTCACGATGTTCGCATGCCGGATCCGACCCAGTGTCTCAACTTCGGACTCGAAAACTCCCTCTGTATCCAATTTGTTGTGGCCTCCCCAGAGACTCTTCACGGCGACGGTGTGACCCGTTTTCAGACCCACCTTGAAAACAGTACCCGACCCGCCCGACCCGATTACGTTGGAGCTCGTCAGGTGCGGAATTACATCTTCCTCGTCGAACCCGACCCGTTGGAATTTTGTTACATTCCATGGAGATTTCGATTTGCGGAAGAGATTGAGCTTGAATTTGATTACCCAGATGAGAGACCCGACGAGGAGGACGGCGAGAACCGAGAGGACGACCACGACATAGAAAGCGGTGGGCTTGGATTTCGGGCACGGTTTCAGCGGTTTCAAATCCGGGCTACAGAGACCCGGATTACCCAGTAGGCTTCCGACGAAGAGTTCGTTGTTGAAGCCGGAAGGAACTTTTCCGTTCAATTTGTTGCCGGATAAGTTGAATTGGTTCAAATTCAGCTTCGTCAGTTCCTCGGGGATTTCGCCGGAAAGTGAATTTGCTGAGAGATCTAGGTACGCTAACACGGGTAAATCGCCGAGTTGAGACGGAATCTCGCCGGAAAATTGGTTGTGGGAGAGATTCAAGTCGGTTAATTCTTTCCACGGCGTGACTGATTTGAGAATTTCACCGGCGAACGCGTTTTCTTGCATGTCGAGCTTTTGGAGTTTCTTCAAATCCGTTATACAGGAAGGAATGTTGCCGGAGAATCTATTCCTGCTGACGTCAAACCGTACGAGTTCCCGCAGTTTGCAAATCTCCACCGGCAATTGGCCGGAGAAGTTATTACCAGAAATCAACAACACGGTGAGAGCGCGAGCGCCGCTTATCGCCGGCGGAACAGAGCCCTGAAACAGGTTGTTCGACAATTGAACTCGATCAAGCCGAGAAAGATTCCAGAACGAATTCGGTACCTCGCCGGAAAGTTGATTGTTCTCAATTCTGACATAATTCAGAGAATCGCAATCGCCGTACGATTCTGAGAAATTTCCCGAGAAACTGTTGTCGAATAAAACAAGCCTCTGAAGTTGCTTTCTATGGCAGAGGAACTTCGGCACTTCACCATCGAAATTGTTGGAGGAAACATCAATCTCAACCAAATTCGAATTCAAACCAAGATTTCCGGGAAGTTTACCGGAAAGGCTATTGTTGAAAAGTTTCAATCTGTAAAGATTCGGGTTAGAAGCTACACTCTCCGGGACCTCGCCTTCGAGGAAATTGTCATTGAGATACAAAACCTGAAGAGGGAGCGCAGCGATTTTTTCAGACAATTTTCCGGTGAGATTGTTCTGCGACACGTCCAGAGAAAACAGAGTAGTCAAATTACCAATGCTCTCCGGCAACTCACCGGAGATTCGGTTGTTATAGAGCTGAATCGTCTCTATGCTCCTCAGTCCGCCGATTGAATCCGGGATCGGACCCGAAATGGAATTGTTAGATAAATCAAGGTTGGTGAGCAGAGCAAGGTTTCCGATGGAATCAGGGATGGGCCCGATGAGATTCGAGGTGGGTAAGAACATGTTAACGAGCTTTTTCAGATTTCCGAATTCGGAAGGTATCGGACTCGGCTTGTAATTGTTATAAGCGATGGCCAATTCCGCTAACTCACTGAGATTTCCCAAAACAGAGGGCACCGGCCCGTCGAGCAGATTTGAACTCAATCGAAGTACTTTCAGCGCCGGTAATCGCCCAATACTCTCTGGAATGTCTCCCGTAAAATTGTTGCTAGAGAGATCAAGAATTTGCAGTTCTCTGAAGTCAGGGGAAAACTCCGGCAACTTTCCGACGAATAAGTTACCGGTGAGATTGAGTAGGTAGAGGTGAGAGCAGAGAGACAATGAGCGGGACAGTAGAGTTCCATTGATGTAGTCGTTGGCGAGAGAAAGGTTTTTAAGCGTCGGAATCCGGCAAAAATCATACGGAAATTTGCCGGCGATACCAAAACCACTCAAATCGATCGAAACAACGGACGAACTATTAGAATCGCAGGTGATCCCTGTCCAATTACAGGGATTTCGAGCCTCGTTCTGAACCCAATTCTTCAAACAACCATTGGGATCAACGAGATGGGTATTTTTCACCCGAATCAGAACATCGGAGTCGGCATCCAAGAACAGACCGAGAGCGAAGAATTGGGAAATCAAAACGAAAAAGAAAAGAAACAGAGACGATGGTTGTCGAAGGTTGAGAAGTACCATTTTGGACTGTGGGTGTTGCAACTCAAAAGTGAGAGGAAAACATTTTTTGAGAGATCTTATTCTTGATTTGTTGGGATGAGAGAGGATTGGGTTTTATAAGTGGGTTTGTGTGGAAATGGAGAGAATTTGAAAAGGACGAGATGATGAAGAAGAAGAGGTTGGAAAGATGAGATTTTTTTCAAAGATTTGGGGTGAAATTTCAACGCGTTCACATGGAATATGTTTTGATTTATGATCTGTTTTGTTATAATGGGGAGAGAAAATAATGAGTTTCAGTTTTATTAATGAGTGGTAGAGCGAGAGAAAACAGAGAGAAAGATGGGTAATTCGTAATTACAGCCTACAAGACAGTGTATTTAATTTGCATGTTATGTTACTAAAAACTAAAACCCCCCAAGTGAAACGTGATTCGTTTGTCTTTTTCGGAAAAGAACAAGATAAAATTGGGGAAAGTTTTTTTTTTTTTTTTTAAATAGAAAAATGGTGGAAAGTTGTGTTGTGTTATTTGGCGTGAAAATGGAATGGCTGGATTTGTTTTCACAGATAAGAAAAATGGAATCATTTCTAAGATGAAAGAATAAATTCATTTGCCAATTTCAATGCAAGAAGCAGAATATAAACCCATCATATCACGTTTTTTTTATTTTATTTTGTGGACCTTTTTTTAATTATTCTAACCTTTATTTTAGTTAAAATAATCTGAACATACATCTATGTGGATAAGATTTTTTTTTATATATAAATTAAGAAAACATTGCATGATATTCAGTTGACAAAATATGAGTTTTAGAACACTTTTGAGAGTGGTATCAAAGGTAGGAGATTTTGGGCCAACATGTTTTTTAAATGCTAGTATCTAACATGTTTGAAATTTCATATGTCTGAAATTTTAGATATCTAGCATTTTCAAATAGATATGTTTATTTTATAGGAAAATTTATAAAGATGTTTGAAAATATTTAGATAGCCACATTTATTTTACGAGATTTATTCTTGGAGATGTGTTAAAATTATACAATGTTCCAAAAATGTCGTTGAATATTTATTTAATCGATACATTCATTTAATATAATAAATATATTTTTATTACTTTAATAATTTGTTTTTATATGTTATTTTGTAGAACAAATTAATTCATATTAATTTGATATAGATTCATTTTTCACTTTAATATTTTTCCAAAAGACAATATCTTACATGAAATTTATTTATATTGAAGGGAAAAAGAAATATGTTGCTTTAAAATTATATAATTATGATAATAAATATTATTAATAATATAATTCCTTCAAAATATTAAAAATAAATGGATAAATTATATAATTTAATTGTAATTTATTTTATATAAAAATGTAATGTACATATATATTTAATTGCATCAAGTTGTTTATCAGACGATGAGTACATTAATTATTTTAAAATAAAAATAAATATTTTTTATGAAAAAATAGAAAATTTTGGTGAATGAAAATATATAAAAAAAAATGAAGGGCAAAAATGTAAAGAGCGACTACCCTCAACACGAGAATCTTGAAAATCCATATTTTAAAAGAGCATCCAAAAATTCGTTAGATCCCTCTCGTATAGGCATCTTAGAGTATTCGAGCATCTTACCTGCGAAATAAAGATAAGAATCCAGATATCCTTCCAATGTAAATCTTGGATTCCCACGAAACAAAACAGTCCCTTTTTGTTAGAATCTCTAATATTATTTTCACTCCAATTATGATAATTACTTGTTCGGAAGAGTGCTAAAATATGATTAAATTGATAGTAACTCATCACTCTAAATCTTAGAATTTAGATTTAGTTATTACTGAGATAAAATACATTTTTTTATATGCCTTTGTTGGAAAAATATTGGTTAATGAATCTTTTGAGAAAAGTTATATCAATAATTTTATAAGTTTTTTTCCTACAAAACTAAACCTAATAATGATTAAATTTGGAAAATATTTTTTGACTTTTGATAAGGTAAGAAATAAAAACTACTCAAGTTGAGTTGAAAAGCGTGCTTCTAGAAGGAACACGACCAGAGCTGTACCCAAATTCCTGTGTTAAAATGAAGTTAAATCCGATACCTGGGTAAGAATTCAATTTAAAAAATTTACCATTTTGGTGAAATAAATTTTATGTATTTTTATATTTTTTTAAACACATAATACAAATAATTGAAAAAGCTGCTGCGATAAGAATATAGTTAAATTATATTTGTATTCTCTAAATTTTCAGATTTTTTTTCATTTTTTATTTAATAAATCTTGATATATTTTCATCATTTTTTTAATATACCTAAAATAATATTTTATATCTGATGATACTTTAAACTTTGAATTTTGTGTCTATGTTTGTTGATTTTTAAAAATGTCAAATAAATTCGAAGATCTATAAGACTCAAAATTAAAAATGTAAAGATATATTAGTTACAAAATTGAGAAACTAAATACATATTTGACGGTTTAAAAAGTTCACAAATTTATTAGTAAAAAATTAAACTTTCAAGAACGTGTTCGGAACTTTTTTAAATGATTTCTATAATAAATTGCTAAAATATTATTTTGGTCCATTCCTATTTTCTACTAATTTAATTCTTATAATTTAATAAATCTAATTTTGGTTGTTCAAATTTTAAGGGGTTATTGGTACAAGTCTTACCGGTACCTTTACAATGTCAGAAAATTCAATTTTCTGACAATTTTTTGCTTCGTCTTTCATTATCTCTGACTATTCAACAAATGTTAATTTAATCAAAATATCTTGCTTTATCTTTGTTGTATTAAAAAATAACGTTAACTTAACTCTTCTTAATTTCTATTCAAATAAAGTACAACAATATATTCATATTATTTTTATTTTTATGTTATTAATTATTAATTTCCCATAAATGTTGATAATAATAAAATGGGCAGTATTAATTTTTTCATTGATTAAATCCTAAGAAATGAATTTGGAAAGAACAAAATAGAAATTTTTGAAATTTTACTGATGAAATAAACAAAGAGGATAAATTTTGTGAACGAATGTTACATCTTAACTGTGAATTTTTTTTTAGTACTATTTTAACTCTTAATTTATAACTTCTTTTTTAAACTAAAATAAATGACTGTTTTATACCTTTTAAATAAGTTAACTTATTTAAAAAGTACAGAACACTAATTTATTTTAATTAAAAAAGGAAAAATTTTTTAAAGAAAAAAAAAAGAAGTTTTAAAAATCATTTTTGATATGACTTCTGAGGAAATAAGGAGAGGAGATAGTGGAGAATAAATGAGATTACATTTTGTTAAAAATTCCAAGGAGTGAAAGCGACGCGTGAGGTATTGGTTGGCTTCAAAGTTTTGATCGCTTAAAATTGAGATAAATTGCCACTGATGAATAGTGGGAATCCAAATTCCAAACCATTGGTTGGGGTCTATTTTAAAATATATTCTTTATTTCGTTACTTTATTGGGAAATTTAAAAAAAGTTATGGTAATAATAATAATTATTTACAATCATTATATTAAATATCAGTCCATATGTCAAATATTTTTATCTATGTATTCATGAGTTCAACATCAATATAAAAGGTAAAATCAACATTTTCATTGGTACGAAAAAAAAAATTTGACAAAATATGAAAAATATCAACAAAATATCACTAATATATGCATACTATTAGTATTAATCATCTTTTAACTTATTTAGAAATAGAAAAATGTTTATTTATTAATTTAAATATTATTTATGATTTTTTAATTTTTCTCACTTTTATAGAAATATTCAACATTTTATCTATATTTATATGAAATTGAGACCCCCACATTTCAATGGAGATCGAGATTTAAAATTTTGTTTAGATTCAAGGATAGGATAGGAATTAGGATGATTATCGGAGGGCTTTGAGATATTTAATATATTCGGAACTTATATTCCCATGCCTATCCTTATCTTTATCGATCTGTTTTGGTGAATTGTGAATATAGTCAATCCACTTTTCTCTTTTAATTAAATTTGTAAATTCAGTCCCTTCACACTTTCAATGATATAATGTCTCTCTTTTGAAGCATAAATCTTTATGAATTTTTACTTACATAACAAAAAAAAATTACATATCAAATGAGATATTATTTTTATTTATATATCAACGTGATTTATATCCCTAAATAAAATAGTGGACCACAAGTCATTCATTTCTCCCTTTGGATTACAACCAGAGTTTTAATTTTTATCTAGATCAATTTTTCTTCTTTATATCACACTGTCAATTTGATCCATGATAAAGATACAAATTTTGTTAGGGAACGGTAAAATTTTACATGTGTTTTATATGCAAACTAAATTAAGGTGGGCATACTCCTCCTATATTTAATAAAGTCATGTAACAAATCACATTAATAGAATTAGCAACATATACCGATTATTCTGTGACTGCACCATCGACCCATTGAGAATCATTTCTTCAAACAAAGATCTACAAAGCACTACTGTTTGAGGTTTGCCACTTTTTGTTTAGTGTTTGAAAACTCTATATATTGACACAACCAATTACTATAGAACATGATTTGACACCACTTTTGACTTGTGAATGCTATCCTTTTTGTCTGTAGACGAAGTAGCTGTGTGGCTTGATTATTTGGTGGCATTAAATCTATAACAAAACAACTAGTAGTTGTGAAAGATAACGTAGTGAAGTGAAGAACAAAACAAATTTGCATACACAATGGAAATGGATGTAGTGGGAAACCGAGAGACGAAGTCCAACAAATTTGCAAAGGAAACACAGGCCATCTTGATTCTTGGGAATGAAGTCAAAATATTGAAAGGTCCAATTTTCCAAGGGAGAGGGACTTTGGGAAGTAGCAAAATATGGCATATAGCATATATCGGAGAGGCCAGAAAGTTATTGTCTCTTCTTCGTCGCCGTCAAGATTCAGCTGCTCCCCCCAACACCCCGCCCACTTTTGAAAATTTGATCCAAACACCACTGAATATAATTCCATCAAAACTTCCCTCCCCTCCTGAATTCTTGCATGGTCTAATACTATATGAACAAATATTTTCTTTTTAATTTTGCATAATTCTTACATGGTCCACTTGTCTATATGCTAGTGGACAACGCAGGAATTGGAATTCAGGGGAAGCTTCCTCCTTAGAAGTTTTTTCGATTTATTTTAGTATATGTACTTTTAAAACGTTTATTTTAGTTCTTGTACTTTTTAAAAAGTGATTGTTTTCATCCTCTCATCTTTTCAATTATAATTTCAAACACGATACCACAGTCCGTATATTTATTGAAATATAGCTATGATTTAAAATTAGAGGGTTTTTGTTGTGTTTATAAT